GTCACCCCAAAATATGCCACTTTGGCACAAGGATTATCGTGAGCTGAAGGCAATTGAGAAGAGGCAGAGACAAGAATAGCTCTCTGCCCTCTCCCTATTTGCCTAGAAGCAGGATGTAAATTTACAAAGGTGTCCCCCCCTCCCCAGAGGGACAAAGGTTAATCACAGAGACACCTCTAGACCCGTCAGCCTGGAAAGGGCCCCAGAAGAATCTATAGAACAGATTTTACTAACTAGCCTTTATCTCCGCCCTTGGAAGCCTACAACTGCTTTCCATTGTTAGTCATTTCTCCACAAATTTATTGTTCTTTGTTGAAGATGCTGTATAAGCTGGAGTTCTAAGCCACCTCTTTGAGTTACTCATGTTTCTCTGGTTATCTTCCATGTGTCCAGGAGGTATACATGTTCATAAGCTTCTGTTTGTTTTTCCTGTGTTAATCTGTCTTTTATTACAGACGTCTCAGACAAGAACTCAGAAGGGCAGAGAGCAAATTACTTTTCCTCTCCTGCCTGTGTAAATGGTGCTCCCTTCCCAGAGAGCTGCTAGTCCGTGAGTGCCTCGGGCCAGGAGCCTGCCTGTGAAATTTAGTACCCTAGCATCTACAGGAGGGCCCATCCATGGTCATGCTCATTAAATGTTTGCCGAACTAAACTGAGAATTTACCTGATTTGCAGATGCGGCTGCCTAAGAAAGGGTTGTACCCAAGTCTTTTAACTTTTTATTTTGAAATAAACATACACTCACAGGAAGTTGCGGAAGTAATAGATTCTTGTATACCCTACACCCAGCATCCCCCAGTGGTTAACATCTTACATAACTAACACAACATCAAAACCAGGAAATACATGCTGTTAACACAGGCTTTATGCCAATTTCAGCAATTTTTACATGCACTCATTTGTGCGTGTGTGTGTGTGATTATATGTGTGTGTGCATGTACTTGTACCGGGTTTTATCACCTCAACAGACAGATTTGTGTAGCCACCACCACAATCAAGATACGGAACTGTTTCATCAACACCAAGGAAATCCCTTTATAGTTAGTTAGCTTTGAAAGTACAATCACTTGGGAAGGTTTTTTATTTTTTAACTTTTCATTTAAGTGTAACGTACATGCAAAAAATGGTGCATAAGTGAATAAATGAACAGCCCGCTGAATTTTCACAAACTGAACACACCCCGGAACCAGCACCCAGGGCAAGCGGCGGAACCCTCCCAGAATGTGTTGTGCCCCTTCCGGAATGACTGGTTTGCTTTTCAGTGAAGTCTGTGGACTGCAGGTCTCTCTTGAGGGCTACGTGCTGGGAACGTCTCACTTTTCCCCCCAAGATCAACAGGATAATGCTTCAGCTTTGGGGAAACTTTAACTTTTATGCTAAGTCTTAGGCTAACTCAGACTTAGCGCAGAACTTTTTTTTTTCAGTAATGGAAAGTCATCACTGTTGAGATTATAAAGGTTTGATTCATTTACTTTGGGAAGCATGGTTTTGGTCTCTCAGTAAATGAATACAGAGCCCTTACAGGACTGAGGATTCTCCAGGAGCCATTTACTTATTTTCGCTAAAATACAAGAGTCCCACCTCCATACCAGCATCTTTACCTCCACAAGTATTTACCTCACTGAAGTTCCTAATGGATTAGGTTAAATGACCTGGAAAGGAGGGGACTGGTTTGAGGGAGAAAAAAAAATCCCCCCAAATGGATATATTGTATGATTCCGTTTATATGAAACTCTGGAAAATTCAAGCTAATCTATAGTGACAGCAGATCAATGACTGGGGAGGGAGAGATGACAAAGGGTCACAAGGAAATTTTATCTTGATTGTGGTGATAGTTTCACAGTTGTTCATACTTCAAAACTTACGTTGTATTCTAAGTATGTGCAGTTTATTATGGCAGTTATACCTCCATAAACTATTTTTTTTTTTAAGTCAACAAAGCTTCAGCTCCAAGACTTTTAACTCAATCCATTAGCTCTTTGTCTCCAGTCAACCCCTATTAGCTGCATAACAGGGTGTCAGTGCTTATGACGGCCCGGCATGGCTGTGAGGTTTCAGGGAATCAATAGATAACACCTCACTCTTCCGAAATTCGAAGCCGAGCAAGTGATGCAGGAGTTACACAGATGGAATACAAAATATCAGCCTGATTATTGACAGGAACCAGATCAGGGGATGTAGCTTAAACACACCCTTCAATGTAATTTGCATTCCCCCACCCCCAACTGTGGGCCTTCTCCAGCAAGGGCCGACTGCCCTGGTGTGCACCTACCCTCTCTGCAGAGAGAAGGCAGGCAGAGCTGAGCATGCTTAACGCCTCTCAAACTCTGGTCCTCCCATGGGAAGGGAGCCAGGGGTGTTGTCCAAGGCTTCAGCAAATTTTTTCTAGAAAGGGCCAGATAGTAGATATTTTGGGCTTCGGACACAGTCTCTGTTGAAACTACTCAACTCTATTGTAGCACAAAGCAACCACAGACAACACGCAGACGAATGAATGTGCATGTGTTCCAATAAGCCTTTATTTATGGACACAGAAATCTGAACGTCATGTAAGTTCCACGTGTCACAAAATATTCTTATGATTTTTTTTCAACCATTTGAAAACGTGAAAATCATTTTTAGCTTATGGGCCACACAAAACAGGTCATGGGCCAGTTGGCTGACTCCTGGGGAATCCTCTACACAGAAGCATAAAGAAAAAGTGTTTCCCCCCTAACAACAACTAGGTGTTACGTAAAATACAGACACGTTTATTTAGATTAGCACATAGGTTTAAAGTGTCATATTAGAAATGATACCTTGTCAATACATGGGGAAAAAATAATACATTTTTTAAAATAAAGCCAAGACTTAAGTCAAAGTCCATGATAGCTTGGTCACACACAAAAAGAATGGTACTACCTCTTCATCCCTGCCCACAAGGGAGGCATCACTGGCATGCTGCGTGGATGTTCTCTTACCTCCAGCAGGTTCTTTAATCATAAACATGCTTGGCCTCTTAATGTGGACTTGAATCCTCCTTCATGGATTTTTTTTTTTTGAGGAAGATTAGCCCTGAGCTAACATTTGCCAACAATCCTCCACTTTTTTGCTGAGGAAGATTGGCCCTGAGCTAACATTCATGCCCATTTTCCTCTACTTTATATGTGGGGTGCCTGCCACAGCATGGCTTGGTAAGCAGCGTGTAGGTCCATGCCCAGGATCCAAACTGGTGAACCCAGGGCTACCGAAGCAGCGTGTGTAAACTTAACCGCTAGGCCACTGGCCAGCCCCGCTCCTTCATGGATTTTTAACCAGCAATGAAGAGTCTTATTAGCCTTTGAGTCCTACAAATGCCCTCTCTCACATCATAGGGCCCTGCTCTTCTGTCTAGCCAAAGCTCTTGGAGAGCTTTACCTTCCAAAGGTTCTTAATGATAAGCACACCAAAGAACCCTGGCTGTCATTCCACCTCATGCTCTGCTCCTCTGACAAGTGGGATAACGAGGACCCACTTTCTGATCACTAGTGTGGTGTTTATTTTTGATTCACGATAGCATTGAGATCCTTCTTGTGGAAGGAGCAGACAGGCTGGGCTGGGAGGGCCAGGGGCAGAAAAGGATGAGCGGCAGAAGCTGCACTTGGCAAACCAAGAGGGGGCCCAGGGCTGATCCCACAGGAGAGACAGGGAGGCGTCTCTCCCTTTGTCTTTTGTTCTCTTCACACATCAAAAGGAGTTCCTCTTAGTCCTAGGAACAGAGGGCCCAAGAGGTCCCCCAGAATTTGCCCTCCAACAGTTAGGGGCGGGAGTTCTTTGTGTCGTGGAGGGAGGAGGGTGGAAAGCATGGACTTTACGCTTAAAATTTTCCATTCAATTCCCAGATCCACTACTTTTTGGGCAAGTTACTTAATCTTTCTGGGCCTTCAGATCACTATCTACAACAAGAGAAGAATAACATCTCCTTTTCAAGGATGATTGTAAGGATCAATTGAGTATGTGAGACACGTGTTATTATGCACATAAAGCCCTTAACGATGATTGCTCCCTTCTTCATTGTGCTCTACTGACCTCATATTTGGCCTGCCATCCTCTATGCCAGGAGTTTTTGCTTTTGCATTAAAATAACATAACCCTGCTCACTAGGTAGGGCAGATTTTAAGTTTATGAAGATAAATATTGGTGTAAAATCATCACATTTTCCTTCTAACACCATAGATAGTATTGAACTGGCTAGCAATACAGAAAGTGTAGGCATAAGCAAAGGAATTATTTTAAAAATAAAATTGCACTCCTATACTTTTTAGTTCTGCCATTCCTCATAAAGTCCAATAATTGAAAACAAGATGATTTCATGAGGATGAGTATTAGCGGCGAGAATCAAAGCACCTGGAAGCTCATTTTTTTCAAGGGCCCACAGGAACTATTTTCTCTCTTGCTCCAGCCCTGATGATTTAAACCTGATGATTTAATTGCCTTTCTTCTCTACTTCATCATAGCAAAGCATCCTAGATTTCCCCTCATGTTCCAGAAACTTGTGCAACGGAATATTGTTTAGGTGTGGTCATGCTGGAGGCCACAACGCTGGCTCTATCTGTGATGGGCCCCACCTCTCATCCCAAACTTCCCACAAAGAATGCCAAGGGCACCACCCAGGCCACCAGCCTGAGGACCATGGGTGGAGAGGGAACTATGATCAGCCAACCAACTTGTCAGACTACAATTAACTCCAGTTCTTCGCTCTGGCATGCTGCTTTGTGGCTGGGGATGGTTTGATTTTTTTTCATATATTGAAAATGACTTATTTAGTAGAAAAACTTTTAATAAATATATTTTTAAACATATGAAGTGAATGTCTACGTCAAGTTGTTACTATGGAAAGTACCTTAGGGGCCGATCATGAGCGGACCATCCTAATGAAGATGTTGTTTTCGGAGTTGGGAATATATACAGAGTTGCTGAGTCATTATCCCTGCCTATGGCAGGCCAACTGCATGGCCTATATAGTTCATACTCAGTAAATATTTAATGGAGGAATCATCACTTTTATTGTGTTTCATGTAAACTGGGGCTAAGAGAAACCTCAGCTTGGTTTGTTTTTCTAAAAGAAAGAAAAGGTAAAGGATGTTAAAATGCTAGTTCAACTTCCAACCTACAAGTCATTGAACCCCACCTCCCTTTCTGTCGCCTCCAGTCCTCAGAAAACAATTCTTTTTGAGATCTTGAACTTCCAAGAGAGAGCACCAAAATGGCGGTTGGTGACAGCAAAGGAGCGAAAACAGGAGGGCCTTGCTCTGCGTGGGGGTCGCACTCAGCACAGAAAACTTGCTGCACAGAAGACAACCCGCACCTCAGAGACACTATTTAGTAAACACAGCCATCGACTTTATGGGTCCTACCAAGAAACCATGTTCAGAAAGTCGTCCTTAAAAGCAATCCCAGCTCCTAGGAGAAATCAGCCCTCTTTAAATCCATGTGTAAGTCACCTAACGGGTCTGCAGACACGAACAGGTGTTAATCTTTAACATAGGCAATATAATACTGTACCAGCTACAGAAACACAAAACTCTTTTAAGTATATACCTTAGCATCTTACCCAGCCTTTATTCCTATTAACAAGCGTCCCAGTTTAAAAAGCAATGTTTTTGTTTTGTTTTGTGTCTTGAAAACCCCAAGAAAACAGGTCTTTTAAACTATGGGGACACACACCCAGCCCAGAGTGAAAGGACGTTCATGCGCTGTTCTAACAAGAGTTAGTTTCGTGTTTTAACTCCCATTGACTGGTCCCGGATTGAAGGATTCCTGCAGGGGTCCTTTCGTTTTACAGCTGCTCCATTATCTGTCCTTTGAGCAATAGCTGAAGGAAGCCCCGTTTCTGAGGGAGCCATTCATGGAAACCTTCGGATTGCCTCTCTCCATCCTTTCTCGGCTGAAGATTGTGTCCTGATCACTGTCAAACTCCGACTCGGACACCATCAGGCTGGAGTTGTGCTCTGTGCTTCGGTGCTTGATACCTAGGGGGAAGCAGACAGGCGCAAAGGGCATTGTTCACTCTCAGCTGTCCTTCCCGTTGCAGGTCAAGTGCAGAGCGTGGGACTGTGCTCTCTGCACCTTCAAAGCTCACACACAGCAGGAGGTTGGGGTTTCCTAGTGAGTAATAACAGGGCTTTGGAATCACACCCGAACTTGAGCCCAAGCTTTGACACGTACCAGCTGTGTGACCCTGGGCAGGATACAGATACTTAACCTCTGGGCCTTCAGGCCCCTGTGTATTAAACTGGGAGATAACAAAGCATCTACTCCATGGGTTTATGGGAGTGGAGGCGCTCTGATCAGGCCTCCCCAAGATGCGCCACTTTGACATGGGGAATATTTTGAGCTAATGGCAATCGAGACCCTGAGGGCTCAAGAGAAACTTTTACCTGTCCCTTAAAGAATTTAAATTGGGGGCCTTGCCCATAATAAGAGTTATTACCAGAAATACCTTTTTATGACCTATCTGTATGGCAGGGCAAACTTCCGTTAGTGAAAACCTGCTCTTCTTATCCTCCCGTGAATTACCGTCCTCCCCTCTGAAGCCTCAGGCCCCCATCCCACCCCTTAGCTCGAGATGGCATATATACCTCAGTTTACCCTTCTGTCTCCGATCCTCTCAAGTATGTGAGGTTCCCGTATGCATGAAATTAATTAAATTTGATTTTCTCCTGTTAATCTGTCTCGTGTCAATTTAATTCTTAGACTAGCCAGAAGAACGTAGAAGGGCAGAGGGAAATTTCCTCCTCTCCCACGTGAGGAGAAAGTGAAGCAGTGCTTATAAAGCTCTTGCCCAGCGTTTCGCACACACTAAGCGCTCAATAAATGTAAGCTGTTACAATTTTACTATTTGGGTCAGTTAAACATTTTTGGTAGAATATGCGATTGCCAGGGGTCAAAAAAAGAGACTGAACAGGGATAAGATACGATCTCTGCTCTCAAGGAATTTATAGTGTCTAAGGGTTTAAGACAAAGACTCATGGGAAGATGGTTCATAACACGCAAGACATTTTTAAAAATAAATCTTCTATGAATCAAGAAGAGATAAAGCACACACTTAAAAGCTGAGGTTGCTTCAGTGATATTTCACATAGGACGGGATTTGAAGAGAGTAGATGTGGACAGAAGAACGAGGGAGGGGCACGGAGCATGCAGAGGCATCCAGAAATATTTGAAGAAAACAGTGTGGACCAATGATTCATGGAGGAAATAATGAAAGAGAGGCTGGGACCTCACAGAAAAGCACATGAGTACAAGGTAAGCCGTGAAGCTTGGATTTTATCTTATAAGCAAAGGAGTAACATGATTAAAATGTGGTTTCAAGATATGACTAAAACTACAGTGTGTAGGATGGAGGAAGATGGAGAGCAACAGGAGAGCAGACTGCACCACAGAGCAGTGCAGGATAGAGGAAGGGAGCATGGGGCCCGGGAGCAGATGCCTGGTCCAACCTGCCTTTGGCACTGACGCACTCTGTGACTTGGGCAACTTGCTAAACTTTGTGCCTCAGCTTCCTCTTCTGTAAAATGGGGATAACCATAGCACAGATCTCATAGAGGTGTTTATAGGATTGGAATTAAATGGGTACAGAGCTTAGAACAGTACCTAGTACATATTAAACATTAAACACCTGTTGACTATTACTGTCAGCACCATTAGTCCAGAAGTGAGATCATAAGATCCGAACTAGGGTGGTGGTAAGGAGAATGATGAGGAAAGAGGGCAAGATGGGGTGGCTGGAGTTGGGACAAGGCACTCTGACCAAGTACCAATGACCGAGGTCTAGAACCTGGTAATAAGAACAGGGTTCTGTGGATAGAAACAGGAAAGTCAGAAGGAAGAGTGCATTTCAGGAGGAAGGTGGGTGAAATAATGCAACCTACGGCACTTTGAGCTCTTAGGTATAAAACTTCTGATAGTAAATTATGTAAAGTAAATGGTGAGCCCTCAATAAATATACACTAAAATTTGTATTTCCTGTGAAGCTTTTCCTGCCAAAGCCCCCAACCACACTCTCCATACACCATCGGTCCCCCAGCCTCCGTGCGCCCACAGGGCACCATCCCTGCTTCTGTAGGACTCCTTGCTCTCTGGTATAATTATCCTCCCCTGGGCTGTGAGCTCCCGTGAAGGCAGGCCTATGCTCCATTCTTCGCCCTTCGTCCAGGGCCTACCCTGAGTCAGTGCATAGGGTAGGCCCTCCAAAGTTACTGTGGACAGCGGGGTGCCTCTCACAACTGTCAAAGTGATTCCGGCCCTCTGTAAGAATTTAGTTATAAATCCAGAATTAGGACAAATCCGTGGAATCGGTGCGAAGCAGCCTCAGAGGGCTAGAGAAAGTTGAATCAGTCTCCAAGAGTTAACACAGGAGAATCAAAAAGGTTAACTGAGGTAGACAAGAGGTAGTTCTAAGCATAGAGATGCATTTACTTTGTGAAGAAAGTCAATTTTCTGTAAAAAAAAAAAAAAAAACTCTTTGTGTCCATTTATATACAGTTAATTAGCTAATGCAGCTGCTGGAAAATGTTTGATTTTGAAGTCCAAATGTTATTTTGCTGCATTTCTGTGTAGCTGACCTACGGGGAACAGCATTCAGAGATGAGCGGGGGTGAAAGGACATCACAGGCCAGGCACCCTGCGGCCATGCGTAGAGAAAAGCCAGGCCCCAGGACACCTGTCTGAAGCAGACCTTTGTCCTGCAGTCACTGGTCGGCGCTCAATTGATAACAGGCATTTCATATCCTTCCCCCATTAAGGTCTCAAAGCACTGTGCCAAAATGTCACTAAATTTATAATACAGCTACTGCCTCCCGGTCAGCACAGCCTTAGGTTGACGTAGATGGTTTTCTTCACAGAAGCGCAGCCTCCCTCTTCCTGCCCAGTTCACGTGCTGCCTCCGGCCTTCTGCTCTCCCTTCACCCAGGACACTCTCAGGCAGATACTTGGATTACATCATTTCAAGATACTAGGAAAGCATCTTGGAGGTCATCTTACCATATTTGGGCCTCAGCTCCATTCTTTCCTGGTCATCCATGTTGTCCAGGATGGTGTACTTTGTTTTTTTCCTTATTTTAGTCCTTTTTCGCCTGAAAGGAACAATGAAAAGCTCCACTCAGATTCTCAGGAAGGTAACTGGGATCCAGGATTTAAAACATGTGGAGGACACCAAAGGAAATCTTTTGCCTTTAGAATGTTATTACATTCTGTTGATTGGCATCTTTTACTAATGATAAGCATACAGGGTGAGGTCTGAGTTCAGTGGGACTGAAGTACATCACACATCTTGAAGAAACACTCTCAGGAGTAGGAACAGCCACACCACTATGGCCCACTAACTGCAGGCTGTCAGCTCAGCCGCGGGCTGGGGGACCAGGGACCTTTATAGCAACCCTCAATCCCCGTGTCAGCCCAGCGAGCTTTTCTCCTTGAGTAAGTCTTAGTTCAGAAACACCTGGATAAGCAAGCTTCCCCCTGAACCTGTACTGCCCTGGCAAATCCAAAGATGCAGGAATGCAAAGATGACATAAACTACCAATCAGAACAAAACTCTAGAAACTACGATAAATTCCCCAAATTAATTAGCAACAACTCAGTCTTTTATTTTTTCACAGCACATAGAACAACTGGGCTGGACCTGTGTGCCTCATCCTGTGCTTCAGAGGATTATTGAAAATACACCTCAAAACCACGGTAAGGTGTGGAGAGAATGAACAGTAGTTTCTGAGCACAAAGACAGTTTTCTGATAGCTTGGTGAGTAACAGCACAGGGTAGCACCTACTAGCTGGGTGACTTTGAGATAATTTTCTGATACTTCTGTAACTCCATATTCCCACCTGTAAACTGGGAGAAGGAATAGTCCCTTTCTCATTGGGTTGATGGGAGGACTAGATAATACATATAAAGCACTTAGAGCCATTAATCACAATGGCAAACACTTAATAAATATCCACAGTCAAGCACTATCATTATCGTCTGCTTGATACACGTGTCACAAAGCTGCAGAATTTTTAAAGCCAAGCACAGCGGGGTGACCAGTATCCCAGATGGTTCTGGGAAAACTTAATGGGATTTAGCCCTGTAAGGCCTGTGCCTGTGCTCTCCATCGCCAGTCTTACCTTTGGGAAAGTAAGCACAAAACTAAAATAATTTATAATTGGTCTATGAAAAGTAACGGTTAATTATGGTATACCGTTATCTGTTTTATCATGTCTTCTTTAGAGAGCATTTTATAGTGTTTCATAAGTGGACCCAATGCTGTCTTCTAAGGATTTCAAGAGATTAATCAGTATCCCCACGAATCTCCTCACAGAGGGTTGGGCACAGAGTTCTGGAAGATTCCGACAATGGGGCACCTCTGGGGCCTCTCACAGGTCAGCTCCACGGAAAAAGGAAGAAGGGAAAACCTAAAGCAAAACCTCTCTTTGGTGATGGTATCACCTGGCTTAAAGATTCACATTTATTAAACAGAATTCAGGAAGATTCGATGTTGCCTCACACAGGTCAAATACTCAAAATCTACAACTGGTATCAGCGTTCCTTTCTCACTGAGGGTGGACCAGTCAGGCCACTTATTGTTCGAGTGAACATAATGTGAGACTCGTAGAAAGTAACACTAGATTTGATACTGAATCATTGAACCTTCTAGAAAATATGAGCACTGTAATGAGAAAAAGCTGCCTCGAGTATTATTCTATTTCCCTAGGCACATATGCTGTGTGGGGAAGAATGCACTATAAAGTACTTCCCCCCCTTAATTTATCAATTAAGAAATAATTGATATTCATCACTGTATAAGTTTAAGATGTACAGCATGATAATTTGATTTACATATATTGTGAAATGATTACCACAATAGGTTCAGCTAACATCCATCTTCTCACCTGGATACAATAAAAATAAAAGAAAGGAAAAAAGGAAAAAAATGTTCCCCTTGTGATAGAACTCTTAGGATTTACTCTCTTAACTTTCCTATATGTCATACATCAGTATTAGGATAAAGTCCTTTTAAAGTCTAGTTTGTCTTCATAAAAAGAGTGATTGTCAAACAGTTCAGCAGTTTAACAAACCCAAGCAAAAGCCACTAACGCTGTCATATCCCATTTAATGATGTGTCTTGATTTCAAGGAAGTAAATAAGCAAGCACACCAGGTACCTCTTGCAGCAGCAGACGCAAAGCCAAGTTAAACCCCCAGTGAGCACTACGAGAGTGAGAGCCAGCACTGTCACATAGAATACGCTCCACTCTGAAAAAGAAAACCAGGTGGACATGGTTACATACTACTTGCAAAACAAGTTTATGTCAATGATTCGCAACCCATATTTTGAGTCCTGTAATTATAAGCAAAGGCCATCTGTGGTGCTGATCACACCGCCTCGGTCTGGCAGCAGAGGACAAGCAAGGTCAAATACACATAATTCAAGAACAACCTAAAGGCACCCTAGTTTTGTCCAATTGGTTCAGGGACCTCATGGAGTACATATTTCATGCTGACTTGAGAACAGAATAGTTGGAAAAAACTAAAATTAATCACTTAGGAATAATGCCTCTGAAACACCCACGAATGGCACATCAAAATATTTGATCCAGAATCACAAAAATCACAACCTTCCTGCCCAAAATAGTTCTGGCTTGATTTTAATAAGGTAAATAAAGTATTTTTATGGCTGCCTATGATATGAAGATGCTTTTCACAGAGCCAGACGGCAATTCAGAAGCTACCTGATCTTCATTCCTTCCACATCCTTGCAGAAATCCAGTGGGAAAAGCTTTGCAACAGCAATTCAGGAACAGAGACACCCAGGGAGCAAAGACACAAGGTTTAACTCTATTAAATGTTATACACGCTCCCTGGAATAATGATCTAAGGGCTGGTTATCTTCACATTTTTATATGGTAGTGAGTGGGAACATAATTTGGCAATCAGTTCTTACAATTCTTTCTGCCAATTATGTCCATCTGGATCCCCAAGACAACAAATTTACTCTTACAAACAGACGGGCATTGAAATAGTTTCCTCCCCAGAAGAGACCTAAGGGCACCGGCTTGGCCAGCTGAGGTGGTGGCTCCCATTTCTGGTGCTCGCTTGGGCAGACAGCCTGGAAGAGTGAGCCAATTCTTGTGTTGATCTGATTCCAGCAGGTCCTCACAGGGGCCACTTCCTCAGAAGGCCACGCAGAGCCCACGCCAAGGCAGGTGCAACCTAGACCCAGCCCACATGGCCCAAAGAACTTTCTTAGCAATGCCAGCCATGGTTAGCCAAATCTGCTCTGCCAAATTGAATTTCCTCATCAGGAAGTTTTACAGAAAAGCCTTAAACACAGCCCCAGAATTGTGGGAGGATCTTAACTCACTACCAAGTGAGTTGGTTCACTTGGCTTCAGGTGAGAAAAGGGTTGAATGTTTACAGCTGCAAAGCTAGGCAGGCATTTCGGAAATTTCAGAATGAGTCGTCTTAAAGCTCATGCCACCGCCACGCCAGGACTCACCACAGTTGCTCTCGCCATCCCGGATATAGCGCTGGATCAGGTTCTCCATCCACAACTGAGAGCAGATGCAGCGCTTGGTGATGGGGTCACAGTGACCGTGGCCAGAACACTTCAGAAGGCAACCTGCAAGGAAGCGAGCGAGGCTGAGGTTACCACGGAGGAAAGGGGAATCCCCGGCTCCAGCTTGTGCATTTTCATAGCATAGGCCCTGAATAGATGCATCTTGTTGAGTCAAGAGCCTCTTATGGTGTGGACCAGGGTTCCAGGGATCGTGTCTCAGTACTGACAGTCTCATCAGGAAGCATCAAAATGCACCACGTAACAAAAGCCTTAAAAAGGGAGCAAAAATGTAGCACCCTCTGGCCGAAGAAAGAATTCTTAGAATTTATCCAGTGAAAATAATTGGGGATATGGACAAAGATTTCTCTACACTGTAGCACTATTTAAAATCAACCTTAAAGTCCATGAGTAGAGAACTGGTTGCCTAAGTTGTGGAACATGTCCAGGATGGAGTACCATGCAGCCCTAAGTATCTTACTGAGGGATAAATTTTGAAAGATTTGAGAAAATGATCATAATATGATTTGAAGCCAAAAAGCAAATTAAAAATATATGTCAAATTATCCTGATTGTAGTAAATGTTTCTAGAGATGGGGAAACTAGAAGGAAACATATCAAAATATTAACAAAAGTTATCTTTGCAGGGTGGGAATTCTAGACTCTAGAATAGAGGATAATTTTAATTTTTTTGCCTTTATAGATATTCCAAATTTCCTACAACAAATAAATATTATTTTTGTAGCTAGAAAAAAGGAGTTATTAAAAAAATTAAGTTACTCGGGGCTGGCCCCATGGCCGAGTGGTTAAGTTTGCACACTCCACTTTGGCAGCCCAGGGTTTCACCGGTTCAAAGCCTGGGCACAGACAGGGCACTGCTCATCAGGCCAGCTGAGGCAGCATCCCACATAGCACAACCAGAGGCACTCACAACTAGAATACACAACTATGTACTGGGAGGCTTTGGGGAGAAAAAGAAGGGAAAAAAAAAAAAAAAAGATTGCCAACAGTTGTTAGCTCAGGTGCCAATCTTTAAAAAAAAAAATTAAGTTACTCTGTTACAGGTTTTGGCCAGAACAATTAGGCAAGAGAAAGGAATAAAAGGGATCTAAATAGGGAGTGAAGAAGTGAAACTCTCATTGTTTGCAGACAACATGATCTTATATATAGAAAACCCTAAAGAATCCATCAGAAAACTATTAGAAATAATTAACAACTACAGAAAAGTTCCAGGGTACAAAATTAACTTACAAAAATCAGTTGCATTTCTATACTCTAATAACGAATTTAGAGAAAGAGAACTCAAAAATACAATTCCATTTACAACCGCAACTAAAAGAATATAACATCTAGGAATAAATTTAACCAAGGAGGTAAAGGACTTACAAATGAAAACTATAAGACATTACTCAAAGAAATAGAAGATGACATAAAGAGATGGAAAGAGATTCCATGCACATGGGTTGGAAGAATAAACATAGTTAAAGCATCCATACTACCCAAAGCAATCTACAGATTCAATGCAATCCCAATCAGAATCCCAATGACATTCTTCACAGAAATAGAGCGAAGAATCCTAAAATTCATATGGGACAACCAAAGACTCCGAATTGCTAAAGCAATCCTGAGAAAAAAGAACAAAGCTGGAAGCACCACAATCTCTGACTTCAAAATGTACCTCAAAGCCATAGTAATCAAAACAGCATGGTACTGGTACAAAAACAGACACACAGTTCAATGGAACAGAACTGAAAGCCCCGAAATAAAACCGCACATCTACAGACAGCTAATCTTTGACAAAGGTGCCCAGAACATACAATGGAGAAAAGACAGTCTCTTTAATAAATGGTGTTGAGAAATCTGGACAGCCACATGCAAAAGAATGAAAGTAGATCATTATCTCACACCATACACAAAAATAAACTCAAAATGGATCAAAGACTTGAAGATAAGTCCTGAAACCATAAAACTCCTGGAAGATAATATAGGTAGTACACCCGCTGACATCGAACAAAAAAGGATCTTTTTGAATACCATGTCTTCTCAGACAAGGGAAACAAAAGAAAAAATAAACAACTTCATCAGACTAAAGAACCTTTACAAAGTCAAGGAAACTAGGATCAAAACAAAAAGACCACTTACCAATTGGGAGAAAATTTTTGCAAATCATATATCTGATAAGAGGTTAATATCCATAATAAATAAGGAACTCACATAACTGAACAACAAAAAAACAAACAGCCCCATCAAAAAATGGGCAGAGGATGTGTACATTTTTCCAAAGAAGATATACAGATGGCCAATAGACACATGAAAAGATGTTCAACATCACTAATCAACAGGGAAATGCAAAACCTGTGCATTTCCACCTCACACCTGTTAAAATGGCTATAATCACTAAGACTAAAAATAACAAATGTTGGAGAGGGTGTGGAGAAAAGGGAACCCTCATACACTGCTGATGGGAATGCAAACTGGTGCAGCCACTATGGAAAACAGTAAGGAGATTCCTCAAAAAACTAAAAATAGAACTACCATATGACCCAGCTATCCCACTACTGGGTGTCTACCCAAACAACTTGAAATCAACAATCCAAAACAACATATGCACCCCTAAGTTCATTGCAGCACTATTCACAATAGCCAAGACATGGAAACAATCCAAGTGCCCATCAACTGATCATTGGATAAAGAAGATGTGGTATATAGATATAATGGAATACTACTCAGCCATAAAAAAGACAAAATCATCCCATTTGCAACAACATGGATGGACCTGGAGGGAATTATGCCAAGCGAAATAAGCCAGACTGGGAAAGACACACAGCAGATGATTTCACTCATATGTGGAATATAAACAAACACATGGACAAAGGAAACAGTTCAGTGGTTACCAGGGGAAGGGGGCTGGAGGGTGGGCACAGGGGGTGAAGGGGAGCACTTATGTGGCAACAGACAAGAAATAATCTACAACTGAAATGTCACAATGATGTAAACTATTATGAACTCATAAAAAAATTAAGTTACTCCATATTATAGTCGAGAAAGTCAAGTGTGGGTAGATATACATCTGAAACAAATTAAATTTTACTACCCAAACATTATCATGTTCCTTGTAACTCTCATATTCCTCAGTGTCTGTAGAAATTACCACTTTCAGATCATAAGAAATTCATGCTCCTCATAAGCTGGGGACAGAGACCTTGGACAAAGACCACATTTCCACATTTGGTGCCATGAAGGGGTGGCAAGCAAGGGGCTAAGAAATGAGGCACAACAGAAGGACTTACAAACTCTCTTCAATTTTCCACAGTCTACATAACACCATCACCACAACCTAAGACATGATGTCAAAGGGAAACAAATTATATAAACACAGCTTTTCCAGCCAATGCTACTTATCTGTCTTTAAGACCATTCTGACGGTTTACATATGAAATTTCTGACAATGACCATTACGTGAGAAGATAGTTTAAAAACTGACCCATGATTGTTGTTGCTCTCAAGTTTCCCTCAGTGACAAAGCCTATTGGCAAACATGTGCTGCAGGAAATCTACTGGAGAAATAAATGCAAAACAAGTCCCTGGATGCTAAAGTGAAGATCTTTCTGTGCCAGTAAAACGTAGCCATGATTAGCTCGTCTGACTCTTTTAGAATAGTTCCATCGGAATAATCCCATTGGAACATCCCCAGAGGAATTAAGTCCCATATTTAATTTCTAAATAGAAAGATAACTAAATATGGAACTTAATTCCCACTCAGTCAAAAAAGTCTATGAGACCTGCCTACTGTTCTGCCATATTGGAACCAGATCGTATTTCACCTCTTCTCAGAAATCCTTCACTTTAAACTCAGTGGGTAATTATTTATGTTTCCATAAGATTCTCACTATACTTAATTTGATGGGATGTCTAGCTCAGTGGTGTCCAAGTCTGAATATACAATTAAATGTTTACATTACTTGAGCTCTAAAAAATAAATAAATAAAAAAGAATATTTCTGTGGGGGTCATACCTGCTGTGTCAATCCTCAAGACTTTGAAAAGCAAGAAATCAGTCTTCTCCTTTGAGAGGCGCCTGTGCAGATTTTGGACTACTTCAGCAGCCTTGAGGACCTTGAAAGGTGGCCCACTTTGTACATAAAATACAATCACAGTGCTGCAGAGGGGACAATGAGAAAGGACAGCCACATGGTCAGGCAGTGACTGACATGATGTATCCAATCCAGCCATTTAACCCGTGAAGTTGAGAAGGTAGATGGCCACAGCCCTGAGGCAAGGGCACAAGAGTGCGTTCTGTGGGCCAAGGAATTGATCTGTTTCTAGTCACAATAAAGGTTGTTCAGTTCCAGAGTGCAGCTGATGACAGACCTTCAGATAAAAGGAGCAATGTGTCTCTGTGTGCAAACAGACACAACCATATACAGAATAACTTTCAGATATGTCTTTATTTTTAACTTTTTATTGAGATATAACTTACTTACCATAAAATTCACCCTTCTAAAGTGTATAATTTCAGTGGCTTTTAGTATATTCACAGAGTTGTGCAACCATCACCACAATCTAACTACAGAACATTTTCATTACCTCAAAAAGAAACTCCATACTACCCATTAGCAACCATTCTCCATGCCCCAGAGTTCCTGACAACCACTAATCTACTTTCTGTCTCTAGGGATTGGACTATTGTGAACAACTGATACAAATGGAATATACATGAGGCATTTTGCATCTGGATTCTTTCACTTAGTATAATGTCTTCAAAGTTTACCCAAGTTGTAGCATGTATCAATACTTCCTTTTAATTGCCAAATAACATTCCATTGTATGACTATATTTCATTATATTTATCCATTCATCAATTGATGACACTTGGATTGTATCCACTTTTTGGATCTATGAATAATGCCACAGTGAATGTTCATGTGAAAGTTTTTGTGTGGACACACATTTATCATTTCTCTTGGGTAGATTCTAGGAGTAGAATTACTGGGTCATATGGTAACTCTATGTTTAGCATTTTGAGAAACTGCCAAACTATTTCCACAGTGGCTACATCGTTTCACATTCCCACCAGCAATGAATGAGTGTTCCAACTTTTCCACGTACTCGCCAACATTTGTTATGGCCTGTCTTGTGGATTATAGCCATCTTAGTGAGTGTGAAGTGGTATCTCAATATGGTTTTGATTTGCATTTCTCTAATAGCTAATGATGTTGAACATCTTTTCATGTGCTCATTGGTCATTTGTAATCTTTCTTTGGACAAATTTCTATTCAAATCTGTATTAATTTCCCAGAGTTGCCATAGAAAAGTACCACAGACTGGTGGCTTAAACAACAGAAATTTATTCTCTCAGTTCTAGAGGCTAGAATTCCAAAACCAAAGTGTTGAGAGGAACATCCTCTCTCTGAAGGCTCCAGGGGAGAATCTGTTCCCTGTCTCTCTTAGCTTCTGGTGTTCCCGGCAATCCTTGGTGTTCTGTGGCTTCTAGACACATCGCTCCAATCTCTGCCTCCATTATCACATGGCATTCTCCCTGTGTGCCTGTCTTTGTATCTCTTCTCTTTTTATAAGGACACAGTCACATTGGATTAAGGGACCCTACTCTAGTATGACCTCATCTTAACTAATTCCATCTGCAATGACCCTATTTTCAAATAAGGTCACATTCAAAGGTACTAACAGTTAGGACTTGAAGGTCTTTTTAGGGGGGGAGACAATTCAACCTACAACAAGTGTTTTTATCATTAAAATTTTGTCAAATGCTGTTTCTGTGTCTATTAAGATGATCATATAGTTTTTGTCCTTTCTTCTATTAATATGGTTTACTACATGTACTGATTTTCATATGTTGACTCACCCTTACATTTCTGGGATAAATCCCACTTGGCCATGATGTATAACCCTTTCAATATGTTGCTGGATGGATCCAGCAATTCCACTCCTGGGTATATATCCAAAGGAAATGAAAACAGGATATTGAAGAGATTTCTGCACTCCCATGTTCATTGCAGCATTACTCACCATAGCCAAGATATGGAAACAACCTAAGTGTCTATCAATGGATGAACGGATAAAGAAAACATGGTACATAGATACAATGGAATATTATTCAGGCATGAGAAAGAGGAAATCCTACCATTTGCAACAACATGAATGGACCTTGAGGGCATTATGCTAAGAAAGATAAGCCAGACAGAGAAAGACAAATACTGTATGGTCTCACTTACATGTGGGATCTAAAAAAGCTGAACTGTAAAGACAGAGGAGAATGGTGGTTACCAGGGGCTGGGGAGTGGGGGAATCAGGGAGATGTACTTTTAGTATACAACCTTGTAACTGATAAATAAACAGGTCCTGGAGATCTAATGCATAGCATAGCGATGACAGACAACGATACTGTATTATAAACCTCAAAGCTGCTCAGAAACTAGACTGCAATTGTTACCACCACAAAAAAGAAATGATAATTATGCGCCATGAAAGAAGTGTTAGCTAATTACGGTGGTAATCATACTGCAATATATAAATGTATCAAATCAACATGTTGTACACCTTAAACTTCCACAATGTTATATGACAATTACATCTCAACAAAACAACCAAATAAAAATATACGTTGTCAGATGCAATTTGATAGTACTTTCTTGAGGAGTTTTGTTTCTATATTCATAAGAGATAACGGTCTGTAGTTTTCTTTTCTTGTGATATCTTTGTCTGTGTTTTGACATCAGAATCAAACTGTCCTCATAGAAGGAGTTGGGAAGTGTTCTCTCCTCTTTTTTTTTTTTTTTCCTAAAGATTGGCACCTGAGCTAAGAACGGTTGCCAACCTTCTTTTTTTTTTCCTGCTTTTTTTTTTCCCCCAAATCCCCCGAGTACATAGTTGTATATTTTAATTGTGGGTCCTTCCAGTTGTGGTATGTTGGATGCTGCCTCAACGTGGGCTAATGAGCAGTGCCACGTCCACACCCATGATGCAAACCGGCAAAACCCAGGGCCGCCGAAGCAGAGCATGTGAACTTAACCACTCGGCCACGGGGCTGGCCCATCTCCTCTTCTATTTTTTGCAGGAGTCTGTGAAAGTGGTGTTAAATCTTTAAATGTTTTGTAGAAGTCACTAGTGAAGCCATCTGGTTCTGGGCTTCAATGGAAATTTTTTGATTACTGATTTGATCTCTTCACTTGTTATAGGTCTATTAAAATTTTTAATTTCTCCTTGCATCAGTTTTGATAGTTGTGTCTTTCTAGGATTTTGTCCATTTCACCTAGGTTAATTTGGTGACATACAATTATTCATAGTATAATCCTTTTCAATCCTATAAGGTCGGTAGTAATATCCCCTTTCATTCCTGATTTTAGCAATTTGAGTCTTCTCTCTTTTTTTTCTTGGTCAGTTTAGCTAAAGGTTTATCAACTTTGCTGATCTTTCAAAGAAACAACTTCTGGTTTTGCTGATTTTCAGACACGAGTTTGGTTCAGTGTTTGATATTTTATAAGTAAGGGAAATGTGTGATCCATTTTAGAAAGCGTTCCAAAAAAATAACTAGAATTTTCTTTAATTTAGTACTTTTCTAAGTAAACTTTAGTTACCTGGAAAATAAACCTAAACAGAATAGCTGACAACAACCGGCAAATGGAATTACCATGAATAGTAGGTTTTCATCTTCATATTCTTTCTTTCTCTCTCCTCTCATCCCACCCTACTATTCATAAATTGGATAAGAGGTCAAAAATAAAAACTCAATTAAATATATAAATGTTGTGAGAAATAAGGCAGAGGTTGAGCCTCATAGACTCCTAGAACAGCAATGGTAATCAATGATCCTCTCACACTGGGAGAAGCCTCAATCTCATGAACGTGGGGCACTGACAAAGTCTGGCTGTGAGACATCCTCTGTGTGTGCCCCAGACCATTTGCATGCCCTCTGAAGATACCAGAGCTAAAAACTAGCTCCCTCTGATATTCCCTAACTCCTTCATTCAGAATATTCTCAATCAGCAAACATTTACTGAGAATTGTAGGAAGGACCTGGAATGATGTTGCCCTTACTGCTGCCCTTTGAGAAAAAAAGTATATGAGTGGGATAAAAATGTGGCCAAAAGTACAGAACAAGCGGAGGAAATGAACAGCTTCGTGCTGGGTTGGTGTGCAGCTCATACCTGAGGTCCGAGTGGGCCTGAATCTTCTGAACTTTAATGTCCGAGTCCAGCACGTTCAGCAGCACTGCCAGCTGCCTCACTAGGGTGTCCTTCTGCTGCTCTGTCAGCTGCCCGATGCCAACCTGCAGGATTAGCTCCACCAGGCCACTCTTCCTGGGGTCTGGGAAAAGAGAAAGTATGGGATTTCCACTGGGAAGGCACAGGCTTGACAAGATAGGAGCAAGGCCTGCATGAGAGTTAAAGAGTTTCAAATAACTCCTGTGTAATGTCTACATTTAGGTTTTAGGACTCAGATAAATTTTTCCAAACACCACAGAGGCCACTATCTGAGAGTACTTCTTCCTTGTTTTATCCCAGGTGGTTGTCTATTCATTTTTTTCCAGAAGATAATCAGGTGTGCCTAATCGGCCTCTGGGCTAACTTGAAATTTCGGCACCTAACACGCTTCCTCAGGCCTGGGAAGAGAACTCAGTCTCTGAGTGCTGTGGGCACTGCCCATCCTAGTTTACACTGGCGTCAATATGGCCACCTCACTGGAGCTGCTCTTCCTCAGCGCTTCCAGTACTGAAGCCCTTGTGCCCACTTCACATTAGGTCCCTGTCTTCTGGCAGGAAAACAAAAGTGAAAAGAGAATCTGTTGCCAGATCCGGTTCTCCTCAATGAGTTATGAGGCTGGATCTGTTCTCCTCAATGAGTTATGAGGCTGGATCTGTTTGGGGCTATACAACAAAGTGCAGAGAAAGCCTCAGAGTGGGCCCAGCCAAGAGCTGAAGCAGCCCCGAAACCTCCCCCACCGGGTTCCACCTGTCAACCGCAAAGAGCCCCAAAGGTGGCCTTCCAGATCACAGGCCAACAGCACTACCCCGGGCACAGAAACCTGCACGCACCTGGCCGCACTTCCACGGTGGCAGTGTCCGTGTCTGAGGCCCCCTGCCCATCAGTGACTCGCAAGTGGAAAGTGTAGACTCCCTCCACCAGATTGGTAAGCTGCAGGGCTGCACTGCGGTCAGAGCCGTCCAGGACATCCTGCGAAATAACACGATTCATGATTCAACACTCAGCTCCCAATTCTAGGCTTCTGTTGATCCCAAACCTCGGCGTCCCACCTTTTGAACATATGCGTGATTTAAAGGGGCAGGCTGGAGAGGAACAAGGGTGATGGGTTAGCTGAAGATAGGAGTACTCCTCGGCGTCTGTTCCACGTAAGCACCAGAATGCATGAATTCCTCAGACAGTACTTCCTGAATTGAGCTTACCGACGGCTTTCTAGCAATTACCAAATTATTAATTTCATCCAACAGTGAGAAAATCACTGAAATTAGGGTGGAGAACCTGAGGGTGAAGCATCCTCTCTGAAGAGTTTTCCGGGTCTTATTTTCAAACACAGTTTTACAATACTCTCATTTTGGGTTCCCTCATAGTGTATACCATGCTCGCCTTCTCAAATGACCCAAGAGCTTGAGGAGAGATGTCTCTGCTCTGTGGGGCTAGAAGCTCGAAAGAATCAGAGAAGAACCTCCCAGACCTCTGCTCTGAACTAGCTGACAGCAGAGGGTGGTAACAAAAGGTGACAAATGCTCTGATTAGAGAGTCCTTATAATTACACGTAGAAGTTAACCCATCATCTGGCTGAATAGGATTCACTCTGGAGGTACTTTAGAAAGTATAAAGCATTTTCACTTCCTTCCCTGTGACCACTCCTTTGGTACATCTTCAAGAGTATATTTGCATCTCTCAAGTCCTTAGCAACAGCAGAAATGAAGATGTACCAAATTTTTAGCCTATGACACAGAATGATCTAATGGGGAAAAAAATGCCTGCCAGGGGCTAAAAACCTGTGTCCAGGTGGTTTGGTTAAGGATGAGTTAGCTGACCTTGGCCAAGTCACTTTCCATCTCTGCATCTCATTTTCTATACTTGTGAAATGGGAATAGCAATCCTTGACCTGTTGACCTGTCTGATACAATGTGAGGAAAAGGAAAGACTCCACTTGGACCAAAATAGAGACAATGGGGAAGCTGAGGAGCAGAATGATTCCTCTGGGAAGGCTTGGCTTCAAAGTCCCTCCAGGCTATGGTTCCCTACCCCATCCAAAGTCTGGTCAGTGAAAATGTCAGCTTTTGTTCAAACCCAGCAGCAGCCTCCAGCCTCCAGCCCTCAGAGAAAACCTAGAAGCATAAAGACCTTAGTAGGGAACATGGAAGGGGAGATGAGGTCATAACAGAGATGTTGCTATGACCTTAACGGTGTCCCCTCCAAGTTTGTATGTTAAAGCCCTAACCCCCAACGTGACTGTATTTGAGATAGGGCTATTAGGAGGTAATTAAGGTTAAATGAGGTCATAAGAGTGGGGTCCTGATCCCACAGGATTAATGCCCTTATAAGAAGAGACGCCAAAGAGCTCTCTCTCCCTGTCCACCATATGAGGACACAGGGAGAAGGCAGCTGTCCTCGAGCAAGGAAGAAAGTCCTCACCAGCAACCAAATCAGCCAGCACCTTACTCATGGGCTTCCCAGCCTCCAGAACTGGGAGAAAACAAATGTCTTTTGTTTAGGCCACCTAGTTGGTGGTATTTTGTATGGAAGCCCTAGCGAACTAAGGTAGGCATAATGATAAGTGGTCCACGGGCAATTTTCTTCAAGTACTCACTCCAGCTGCTGGACTCTGGCCATCCCGGATCCACAGATAGGACACAATTCCATGGTCATCAGTAGACCTTGAACCATCCAAAGTAATGGAGTTATTGGGAAGCACAAGAACATGTCTGCCACCAGCCTGGGCTCTGGGAGGACTATTATTTTCTAAGTCAAATATAGCAAAAATGAAAGCAAAGAGATTGATTTAAAACACTGGTGATAGAAGTATGTCATAAAATACCCATGACTGTTCCAGCTTGCAGATATGTAGATTTAAAATAACCAAAAGGCATTATTTTCTGCTCAAAATACCCATAATTTATAGACTTTCTTAAAGCTTTGTTTATGCTTAGCTAATTTTAATTTGGCAGCCTATACACAGGAAATTTTTCTAATATCATTACGTGTTTTTTTCTTTTCAAAAAGAGAAATCATGATTTTACTTATATTCAGGGTCTGGAAAGTAAAAATATTTTGGTTTAAAACAGACTGTGGATCATTTTGCCTGGTCCACACTATCTGGCCACAGTATTATTTTTATCTCAAGTAATGCCAAATCTTGCCTAAGTAAAATAAAGAACTTGAGTCAAAAATGATTAGATCTTCACTCGTCTGACTGGGTGTTTAATATACACAAACAATGTATGAGCCATTTCTGATAAAACAGCCTCAGGAGAGAGGGGCCAGGGAGAATCTAGCCAGACTGGGAGATGGTGGGGAGACCATAATAAGACACAGCCCCAGTTTGGAGATAAGGCTGTGATGAGGCAAATCATGCTATTTCAGATGAGGATCTAGGACTCAATTTGACCCCTTGCAAAATAGGATGAGGACAGTCAAATGTTGATCCAACGGAGTAATTGACATCACAACGGTCACTAGCCACTTTCATCCTGAGAAAAGACACTAGAGACTGGGGCAGAGACAACTGGTGCCATCACTAACTTTTCCATTTTGTCCACTACACTCCCTTTTTGTGAGTACTCAGAGCAGAGGGAGAATCTGCTGTTAAGTTGGCGTAATTCCATCGTGGATATAAAGAAAAGCTAAAAAGCATAGAAATAGAGCGGCAGTAAATTGAATAAGCCCAAAAATCCTTCTGTAAAAAACAGACCCTATCTAGCTTCCAAACTGCACCGTCTAGACCCTATCCAGCTTCAAAACTGGAACTCAAGACAGCCACTCCCTCTATGCTGTGTCCTCATACTCTGGAACTCCAGTCGTGATGTTCTCCCAGGTCCCTCGCCCAAATACTCCATCGTCACAAATTCGATATGTCCAAATCTGAATTTAAGCCCTCCCATAAATCTACTGCTGCTCTTCTGTTAACTCGAGTTCAGATAATCACACCATCACCCATCCATACACTGAAGTCAAATTCTTGGGGTCACCTTAGACACCACCTTTCTTCCCTCCAGATCTATTAAGTTACTAAGTCCTGAGAATTCAGGCTCTAAAATATCTTTTCAGTCTGTCTTTTTTTCCCCTATTCTCCCTGTGTTGGCCTCAAATGGGGCTCATATCATCACTTCTCCGGCCTATTGCAGTTGCCTTCCAACCATTTTCTCTGCTTTCAGCCTCTCTTCCCATCAATCCATTACCTTTTCAAAAATCCAAATCTTTCAGGTAAAATGACTGATGCTGGCGTTTGCTCTAAAATACTCCAACCAAAACAAATGAAAATACGAACTCATAGTTGAAACAGTATTGGCAAAATGTTGATAACTATTGAAGCTGGGTGATGGGTACATGATGGCCCATTAAGCTATTCTCTCTACTTTTATAATATGGTTGAAATTTTCAACAATAAAACGTTTGAAAAAATCCAAATCTATGTCAATTTGCTGATAAAATTGCTTCAGCCTCTCCCACCTCCCAAGCTCCTCAGCATAACACATGACAGACAACCCTTCATGGCTGAGCTTCTGCCTCAGGTCCAGCTGCTCTCCCCAGTGCACCCATGCTCTTGCCAATCCACAATACTTGAATTTTCCCATCAGCTGTGCTCTTTTAGACCTGTGAGCTTCAACACATCGTAATCCTGCATGCTTTCATTCATTCAAGTAACCAACATTCATGATTGCCATGCGTCTAGCACTGTGCCACATCAGGATACAGAAATGTCTGAAACAAGGTCCCCAAGCAGCTCACAGTCACAGGGAAAACGAAGACAAAGAGACAGACCCAAAGCAGGACAGCACGAGAGTGGACCACAAATTTCACATTAAGAGACAACACGGAACTTGAAAACATCTCTGCTCTTAGATTCCCAAGGAAGAGAGGAAGCAAAGCATAATGGTGTCACTTGGTCATGGATCTTTAATTGCCAATAGTCACAGAAGAAGAGGGAAGCCACTGGAAGATACACTCCACAAACATAAAGGAAACGCTATTTCCTTGCAGAGGGAGATTGGAAAACAGCTAACGTGGATGGAAGAACGGCTTTTCTTGGCCAAGCAGAGTCCTGCATCGGCTATGAATAAGTAAGTAACACCAACATTTCTGAATCATCTTGGCCTGGCTTAGGGTCCTATAAGACTGAAAAGCAGAATGAACCCAGACGCCCTCCACGAGCAGATCCACCACCAAAGCACTACAACTCACCCTTCTTCACAGCCACGGTGAGGGTGGTGGTGCTGCTCAGTCCCTGCTGGTCTTTCACTGTTAAACGGAAGTGGTAGGTACCCACCTGCAGACCAGTTACAGTGGCTACAGCTTTGTCAGCATTTTCCATCTCCACTGCACTGGGGCCTCTATAAAACAGGAAGGTGATTAACAAAAAGCAGGGGGCATGGGATTCTGATCATGGCAGGCATGATATTTGTGTCCTTGTAAATGCTTCTTTTTACAGCTATAATAGAAACCAATTACAGAATTCTAAGATAGCTTTTTATTCATTAATTTTACAGCTATAATATATACCATCTAGAGAATTCTAAGATAACATTAGTTTAGCATAAGTCATAAGGTAAAGCCTATTTCAGACGAAGCCTGCTAAATTCCTAAGAAGAGGATTTTTTTTTTTTTTTTTGAATTGAGCTGTCGGTAAAATGATCTATCGTTGGAAAACGGAGCCTTAGGAACTACTCCTATTTCTTCTTTGAATAAAATTAGGTTAAATCCTCATCTATCCTTTGGGAGAGGATGGAGGAGGAGGGAATGAGCCAGATAGCCATCTCCTAAGACAGGAATTACAGCGTAGTCATTAAGGTTGTGGGCTTCACAATCAGAAAGACCCAGGTTTGAGTCCCAGCTCTTTCTCTTACTTTCTGGGCAACTATAGACCGGTGATCTCCCTAGTCTCTGCAAGCCTCAACTTCTTTACGTTTAAATGGGAATAGTATTCTTTACCTCTTAATAATTGATATACGAGTCTATGAGATTAAGCATGTAAAGCACAGAAAACTTTAGATAACACAGGTATTCCCTTAAAATCTGCACTTATGTTGTCTACACTCACTGCAGATGGTTTGAGTGAGTGTAGACAAGAGGCCTCATGAGGACCACATCCAGGTTTCCGGCACCTCATGAAGCTCACCTGACACCAAGACTGCTCTGTCCACCTGCCCCAGCTCCACCTCTCTGCACTGCCACTGAACGTCTATGGTGTCCATCCCCACTTGACATATTCTTCAATCAATAGAGCCCTGCTACTTCTAGAAACATGCTTAAGTCCTGACCTTTCAACAAGCCCAAGTTGATGGTTTAATTTAGTCCCTCCAGAGAAGGGGTAACATCAGCATTCAGCCATGGGTGTGAACCCAGCAGCTCGGTAACAAGATGAACTACCTGACATGCTCCCAGTGGTAGAAAACAATGCCGTGGTCATCACTGCTCCGGCTCCCATCCAGGGTAGTGCTCTCCACTGGGAAGACCAGCTCCTTACTGGGGCCAGCCACAGCTACTGGAGGCCTGTTGTTTTCTGGAATTACAGAAATGGTGTGAAAAAGTATTCTCTCCTTGCATTAAGTCTGCCATCCCCTTATTTTTTGATTTAAGCAAATTACTCATTTTCAGGCCGGCAGCTACTAGAGCATGCAGTGTCCTTTGGGAATCCTGGGGTGACACCCTGTGGTCTCCTAGCTGACCCAGGAGTTAAATATTCTAAGTTTGAGACTGGGGTTACAGGCAGCAAAAAATACTGTTCTCCAATATATACAGCTTTGGTTTCTTTAAAAAACCTTGAGAGTCAATTGAGATGTCATCTAGTTTTTATGTCTCACAAGACTCTTCTTTCTGCAACAGAGAGAAGGAAAGGAAAGAAGGATGGGAGAAGAGAGAAAGAAAGAGAAGGAAAGGGAAGAAGGATGGGAGAAGAGAGAAAGAGAAGGGGAGGGGAGAAGGACGGGAGAAGAGAGAAAGAAAGAGAAGGGGGAGGGGAGAAGGATGGGAGAAGTGAAGGAGGAAGGACAGGGGGAGATGAGGAGGGGGCAGGTAGGAAGGCAGGCAGGAAGGAAGTTGATGTCAACGTAAAAAAACCTACTTTGTTAGATAGGGCTCACTTTCTTTTGCCTTTGTAGCCCCAGTGCCGAACACAGTACCTGATAAATAACAAATGCTCAAAACACTTTGGTTAAATGCTGAACAAAAGCAAAAGATATAATATAATAATATTTATAATACAGTGAGTGTAAACAACATAAGTGCAGATTTTAAGGGAATATCTGTATTATATATAATATAATAATATATAATAGTATCACTGATATTACCATTGATATAAATAAGAAAATTTCTGTTAAAAAAAGTCATGTAGTCAAAAACTGAGGCAGCCATTACTCAATGTCTGGAGCAGGTCCCAGCCTCACTGTCCTACTCAGTAAAGCTCAGCGGTTTCCCATTGCCCTTAGGATAAAATATTTTCATGAACATAATTTACAAAGCCAGTGACAGAGAGCCCCTGCCTCTCTCTCCAGATCACCTGTTGTCATTCTGATCCCTGCCCCTCACAATCCCATATCCTCACCTCTTTCTCTCCCTCCAGTCACACTAAATTCCTTTTAGTTCTTTGAACTACCAGGCTCTCTTTCATCCCATGGCCTTCATGCATACTGTTCCCACTGCCTAAAAACTCTTCCTCTTGTCCTTCACTCCCCACCCTTCACCCTCTTTACCTGGCTAACTGCAACTCATGCTTCAACCCTTAGTTCATGTAAGAGCTCTTTGCAGACACCTCAAGCCCAGGTAGGTGCCCTCTCTGTGGGCTCCCCTGGTACCCTGTCATTCCCCTAGAAAAGCACTGATCATGTGGTTTTATGTGTACTGGCTCATGAGTCCTGTGAGGGCAGAAGCCAAGTCCATCTTCTTTCATTCCATATCCCCAGGGTCTAACTAATAGCACATATTACATATTAGCTAATAAATCAATGAAAAAACAAATGCACTGTCTCTAAGTTGAGTAGATTCTCAGTTGCCAGGACACTGGACAGTTTCTGGGACTAGCAGGCATCTTCCAGAACAGTTCTAAAGCTAAGACCATTGTCAAGCAAAAGCCTAACTACTCTTAAGGTTATTTAAATCTGGAGGAAAGCAGAGTCCTGGGTTTTCATAAAAACATTAATGGACTTTGAACTGAACTGTAGTCAATTCCCCCACATCTGGCACAGCCATCTGAGTACCAAGCCACACATAACTAGCAGCCTCTTCAGGAATCCTCTGGAGCCCTTCAGCAGAGTGGGACACGGCATAAAAGCTCAAAAGTGACTCTGAGGATGGCTCTCAGTTTGTCTTTCATACCCTGGTTTAGAAACACAGTCAAGACGTGATTCAGAACTGCAAAAGAAAATTGGCTTTATATTAAGATTCAGCTCGTGGAGCCCTGATTTCTCAATAGTTCAGATTTAGAGAATTTGCACCATATTTGGCCTAGCTGAAGCCCAGAAGCCCAGGTGTCATTTCAGCTTTAATCTCTGGGGCCAAATCCCTTTTCCATCTCACCTACCAGGCTGGACAATCACAGTGACCACAGCAGTGGATTGTTGCCTAGAAGAATCTGTCACCATCAGCTGAAACGTATAATCTCCTTCCTGCATTGCAGACAAATGAAGGTATGGTGTCTCTACTCCCTAAGTAATAGCAAAAATGAGAAAGAAAAGAAAAAATATTAAAGAAGCAGAAGTAATTAGTATGACATAATGAAAAACTAACAATTTTACTAAAAATAAAGACCCTGCTTGAAAAAGAAATGTGTGTGCCCCAGGAAATATGATCTAAAGTTCACTGTGTGTCCTCATAGACTATTGAAGGAGTATAAATTAACACAGACTTCTTAGAAAGCAGTCTGGCAACATCCACTCAACTGTTAAATGAGTACACTCTTCAACTCAGCAATTCTTAGTATCTACACTAGAGAAATGCCCATGTGCACAAGGAGGATGTGCACATGGATGCTGACTGAAGCATTGCCTGAAATAGCAAAAAATGAAAACAATCTAAATGTTCATCAACAGAGGAATGGCCAAACCCACCCCAATACACAATGGGATGCTAATTTAAAAGAATAACGTAGATTTATAAATAATAAAATGGAAAGACGTCAAAGACATATTATGAAGCAAAAAAAGAAAGTCACGGAACAATGCAGACAGTGTGATGGATATTGCTACATGCACACATACGCACATATAAACACAAAGAAAAGATTCCAGAAGTACACACATTAAACTGAGAAAAGTGATTATCTCCAACAAGGGGACGTCAAGGTGTATTTGGGGACTTGGGTGAAGTCTAGGTGTATTTTTACTTTATCAGGATTTATTTGAACTTTTTTTTTTACCACAAGAAGCAATTCATGTATTACTCTTATAATCAAAAATAAATTTTTCAATGAGGCATTTTTTCAGTTGAGTATATAATAACTAACTACTTGTTGCCTCCAGGTTAATACGCTTTCATTTTGTTGCTGCTGTGTTGTAGGTAACATTTCCAATTCTTGCCTATGTTTGAAGTTCATGGCATCATGAAAAGAATTTTTAATTTTAAGTCCTATTATAATTTGTCTACTTTTACAGATCCCCAAATTGTCTAAAGATAAATGTATCCGCATGTATTTTTTAAAGATTTTAATGGAAAAAGAAAACTGATAGGAAATCAATTGTGTTATAACAAGGGGAACTTCTGAAATTTGAAATGCATACTTTTAAGAACTTTTTAAAAAGTGCTTTTACCTACTTTAACTAAATAGAGCACAGCACTTATTTTCTGAAAAGTTCTATAGAGAAAGTATTAGTTCCTATTAGTTGGCTCAAAATTAATACGGTTACATGAATGCTCATGCGCACAATAAAAAGGAACGTTGCAGCAGATGGGAACTGAACAGACTGACACCTTTCACTGAGCACCCCGAAGCAGCCATATGTTTCTGGTTTAAGCGCACAGGCTTCCGTGACCTTCCCCAGTAAGGAGCACAACCTCAGAAGGCGGCCTTGCACAATTTTTAGACTAACGTAAAAGGTCTAGTTTACAGAGCTCATCTTTGTGATGGCCCCAGTTAATCAAGAGCATCAGCCCTTTTGACATCTTGATCAATCAATCACAAGTCAATACCATCGTGACTGTGGATAACCTTAGAGCATCTGCAGCAGATAGGCAAGTGTGGAGAGCAGCAAGGCTAGCCCTGTGGCCCAGCACGAGTGACTTCCTTTGGATACGTGTCAATTAGACATGGATGAAATCTGGAGCACATCTTTGGACACATAACTCTCAATAATTAAGGGAAAGAAAATTTGGAATATTTTTTAACCAAGGAAATACAAAACATCCCCTCTTCCTGTGTTGTATCTAAACCCCTCAGAATCAGAATTATTAATATAACAGAAGAAAACATAGCCCTTGCCGCAACCCTTAGGCAGGGAGGGACACTACACCTAGAGCTCTTCGAGGACATCTAGAGGACTCACAGCTCTTTCAAGCTCCATAAACACAATGAGGCATTTTTAATTCATCATAATTGTAAAATACTTTTCAGAAACATCAGAAAGTAAAGGAGATAAGTTTTCATGGAATGTCTGATTTCATCATAAATACTAATGAGAAATTTATCTTGGACTGGTGAGATGAAGTTTGAAGGAGAAGAGAAGGGTGGCAATGTAAGGTCCTTTTTTTTTTTTCCACTAAACTCTCAAATAATAACATAACTGCAAAAATATCAAGCTGGTTAGCAACAAAAACAAATAGTTCTGGCCATCCCCAAGAGAAGAATAAGCAAACAGCTCACACACACAGCAAATTTCCAAGGTTATTATGTCTTTACACAAATATATTTAACACTTGAACAAATCAAAAGTTGAATACAAAAAGCTCTTAAAAAGAGACCACTGGATACAGAAAAGACAGGACAGAGTTTCTAAAAATAGGAGAAACAAAATAAGGAAGAATTTTCTGATAATGAGGTTTAGATTAGATTATTTCTAAGGTTTCTCCTAACACTAAAATAATATTTCTGTAGCAATGTTGGGTCAGAGTTTTCCCAAACTAACCTCAAGGCTAAGTTGTCAACACAGGACCCACTTAGCTACTACTCTGTGCTTAGACAGAGTGGGTGAGGGGCAGTGATGTCAACTGGAAGATTGTGAGTTTAGGAGCTCTTCTAACAGTTGTGATATATCAGGCAACTTTATAAAACATATTTTCTGAATTCAACTATCCCCCACCAATTAATACTTGATAGATAGATAGATGTGTGGATAGATGGATGGATGGACAGATGGATGGAAGGAGAGACAGGCAGATAGACAGAGACAAAAGTCCGAAGGCAGGATGGAGAACTTGCCTGCATGGCCACCTCTTTGCTCTCACTCCCGGGGCCCAGGGACCACTCATAGAGGACAATCTGGTGATCATCACTGCTCTGGTTTCCATTCAGAGTGATGGAGTTTTGGGGCAAAGTTATGGTCTGATTTGGTCCCGCATTGGCAACTGGTGGATGGTCCACAGCACTGTTGACTATTAGGGCTGCAATTGTGGAGTTACTGGCTCCATCTGAGTCTGTAACAGTCAATCTACAAAAAGGAGAGGAAGGCATTACTCTGCAAAAACATGCCAAATCTTAGGACAGGTGGTCAATTTGCCTTAAGTCTGCCCACATTTCTCAGAACAATTTAGAACAGGTGTAAAGAGAAATTTGGGTAGGAAGCTGAGAAAAGAACAGAGACCTGAGGATATTATTTTTATTTGTTGCTGTTGGTTTATTTGTTTTTAGCTAGCAATATAGTCACATGATAGAGTTTTATCTTTTTTTTAAATTTTTTTTTTTTGAGGAAGATTAGCCCTGAGCTAACTACTGCCAGTCCTCCTCTTTTTGCTGAGGAAGACTGGCCCTGAGCTAACATCCGTGCCCATCTTCCTCTACTTTATACGTGGGACGCCTACCACAGCATGGTATGCCAAACAGTGCCATGTCCGCACCTGGGATCCAAACCGGCGAACCCCAGGCCGCCGAGAAGCGGAATGTGGGAACTTAACCACTGCGCCACCGGGCCAGCCCTAGAGTTTTACCTTATATGAGTCTCTGATGAGTCTTTGAGATGGTGGGTGAAGAAACCATCCTCAGCCAACACAGAAGCCTCCCTCTAATAGCTGAGACTAAGAACGTATCAGGTTTAAGTCCTGCCCTCAGGTCTGAGCATGTAGAGACAGTAAATCACTCACGAATTTTCAGCAACAAAGCCTTTCAATTTTTTTATTCTTTTCTAGAGGACTTACTGTAATTATGTTTTCAGGACACTCCTTGCAAAGCAATTTTAGGATTAAGCACTTTCAAATACAAATGATACTCAACCTCCACAAATAAACAACAAAGAGAAGTGCATTGACCCTCCCACAGTAAACTCACTCCTGATGTGGTAATTGGATCGGTGACATAAGATCACTTCCAGGGTAAAGATGTTAGTTCGGAGCAGTGACGAATGCTAGCCAGGTGTAAATAGGAATATGAGAATGAAGCTACAGAAAGATCACAGGCCTTATTTGCAGGTGAGGTACGCAGACAGAGGGCCCATGTATTCCGAGCTTCCTTTCACACTATCCCACATACTCTGCACCACCAAGATACAAACTCCAGTCCTGGCTCTGACAGCAAACCAAACACCTAAGGTCCTTCCTCCTCAACCAGGCTGATCAGGACAGATTCTAGGCCCGTTAAGGGAATTTCTTCCTGGTAAAATGCGGATAGCAGCAGTAATCTGCCTCAACCAGCCAATGAAGAGTAATTAAATAAAAATGAATCAAAAGCACCTTATAAAGTGGCATTTCACTATATATAAATTTTACCCGAATAAATAAGTAAAGTGCTATAAAGAGACTTTTAATAACTTTTCTGAAATCCCCTGAGGTCTTTATACCATAAAGTTCCAACCAGTGGATTTAGCAAACCCTCAGATAAAAAGTAGACAATAATTTGCCAACACGTATCAAACTCCTTAAAATATACAGGCCTCTGACCCAGAAATTTTACTTGTACTCCAAAATTTAACTATAAGGATGTTCACCCAGACATTGAATAATGGGGCTGAATTAAGAAACTATGATGTACCAGCACAGCATTAAACATGATGCTGCAGAATATTTAATGACATGGATATTCACGATAAATGGGGAATCCAAAAACAGACCCACACATCTAGGAAAACTAGATATAGGAGAGACGTGGCCTTGTAGAAGGAAAGGATAGATTAGACAATAAATAGTACTGGGACAATTGGCTGATTATCCACATGGGGAAAAAACTTGGATCTAACCATGGAAGGTATACAATTAATTCTAATTTAAATGTGAAAGACAAAATTTTTAGAATTATAGAAGGTAGCCTGCAAAAAGTCCTATACATTTTGATCCAAGTAAGAAAAAAAATGTTTTACGTTTATGTATGTATAGAAAAAGCACCATAAACATAAATACCATACTGTTAAGGGTGTTTATTTTTAGGTAGTGGAATTATGGGAGGTATTTAATTTCCTTCTTTATGCTTACATATATTCTGTTTTTATTTTTATGGCAAACATGCGTTATTCTTATTATAAGAAGAAAATATTATTCTTTTAACTCCTACATTGTCACTTGTCTCTTGAAACCTGTATTTCTTCTGGATCAAGCTGTGACAGTCAAGGTGGTAAACTAAAAACAAACACACGAATACCTCACCAAAGAAGATATACTAATGGCAGGTAAGCACATGAAAAGATGCTCCACATCATGTGTCATCAAGCAAACGGAAATTAAAACAACAATGAGATACCAACCACGCACCTATTAAAATGGCCAGAATCTGAAACACCAAATGCTGACAAGGATGTGGAGCAACAGGAGCTCTCATTCATTACTGATAGGAATTCAAAATGGTACAGCCACTTTGGAAGATAGTTTTGCAGTTTCTTACAAAACTAAACGCACTCACCATACTATCCAGCAACCATGCTCTTCGGTATTTACCGAAAGGGGATGGAAACTTATGTCGACACCAAAATCTGCACGTGAATGTTTATGGCAGCTTTATTCACAATTGCCAAAACTTGGAAGCAACCAAGATGTCCTTCAGTGAATGGATAAAGAAACTGTGGGACATCCGGACAATGGAATATTACTCAGAGCTCAAAAGAAATGAGCTATCAAGCCTGAAAAGACATGGAGGAACCTTAATCGCACATTGCTAAGCGAAAGAAGTCAATCTGAAAGGCTACATACTGTATGATTCCAACTACCTGATACTCTGGAAAAGGCAAAACTATGGAGACAGTAAAAAGATCAGTGGTCGCCAGGGGTTGTGGGAGAGGGAGGGATGAACAGGCAGAGCAGAGAGGATTTTTAGGGCAGTGAAAATATGTATGAAATTATATGTACGATATTATAATGATAGACATCTATCATTATACATCTGTCCAAGCTCATAGGATGTACAACACCAAGAATGAACCCTAAGGACTTTGGATAATTATGATGTCTCAATATAGGTTCATCCTTGGTTTAAAAAAATGTACCATTCTGGTGAGTGATGTTGACAATGGGGAGGCTATGCATGTGTGGAAGCAAGGGGCATTAGGAGATCTCTGCATCTTCCTCTAAATTTTGTTGTAAACATAAAACTGCTCCAAAAAAACAAAGTCTTAAAAACCAAATAAACACACACGAGCACTGGATGCTCCATGTGGCTGTTCATTCTGCCTCCACAGAGCCTATAGATTCTCAGGGATCCACTCTTAATAATAAAACAAGCTTGCAGAGCTAGGTAAATTTCTTCTTTTTAATTGTGGTAAAGTACAGATAACATAAAACTCACCATTTAAACTTAAACTTAAAAAGTGTACAATTCAGTGGCATTAGGATATTCTCATTGTTGTGCAACCACCATGGCTGCCCATCTCCAGAATTTTTCATCAACCCAAATCGAAACTGTACCCATTAAACACTACCTTCCCATTTCTCCCCTCCCTCCACCCCATGGCAACCACTATTCTGCTTTTTATCTCTATGAATTTGGCTACCCTAGGTACCTCATATAAGTGGAATCATATTATGTTTGTCCTTTTGTGAGTGGTTTCATTCACTTAACCTAATGTCTTCAAGGTTCATCCATGTTGTAGTATGTGTCCGAATTTCATTTTTTAAGGCTGAATAATATTCCATTGTATGTATATATCACATTCATCCGTTGATGGACATTTGGGTTGTTTCACCTTTTGGCTGTTATGATTAATGCTGCTATGAATATTGGTGTATGCTCTAGACTGAATGTTTGTGTTGTCCTAAAACTCATATGGTGAAACCTAATCCCTAGTGGTTGGTATTTGGAAGTGGACCCTTCGGGAGGTGATTAGGTCTTGAGGGCAGAGCCTTCCTGAATGGGATTAGTGCCCTTATAAAAGAGACCTCAGAGGGATCCCTCACCCCATCCACCATGTGAGAAGATGGCTGTCTATAAACCAGGAAGTGGGCCTTCATCAGACACCAAATCTGCCAGTACCTTGACCTTGGACTGCCCAGCCTCCAGAACTATGGGAAATAAATTCTGTCATTTATAAGCCAATTTAAGTTGTTATAGTAGCCTGAATGGACTAAGACAGTGTAAAAGTATCTGTTCGAGTCCCTGCTGTCGATTCTTTCGGGTAGATACCTAGAAGTGGGATGTAGACACGTTAACTCTAATTCTATGTTTAACTTTTTGAGGACTTGCCAAACTTTTCTACAGCAGCTGCACCATTTTACATTCTACCAGCAATGCGCAAAGGTTCCTATTTCTCCATATCCTCACACACATTTGTTATTTTCCACTTTTTAAATAATAGCCATCCTAATAGGGTAAATTGCTTCTTACCGCTGAGATTTCAAATAAACCAAAACAGAAGTTGTTACAACCTGAGTAAAATCTAAAGCGCTCTAGAGCACCTCCATGGATTTTTTAGTCGAAGATGAATCCAGTCAGATGCTGGAGAGTTTCTTAACCTGGCCAGATTGCAGAGGATTCATAAATACATATATATGGGCTCCTTCTCTGAAATCATCAGCTTCTTAAAGGGGTATTTGAGACTTAAAATTATTGAAAGCCAAAATGTATGGGACACAGCTAAGCAGTACTTAAAGGAAAATAACAACTTTAAAAACTTTATAAGTTTTTAAGGAAGATCTAATATGAAAGACCCAAGATTCTACTCTAAGAAGTTAGAAGAAGAAGTGCAAAGTAAATCAAAAGTAAATAGAAGTAAAGAGATAATAAAGATAAGAGCAGAAATCAACAAAATTAGAACACAAACAAATTAATACAGCTTTAGTTAGGGGTTCTTTGAAAAGATAAGCAAAATTAACAAACCCCTTAATTAGACGGATCAAGAGAAAAAGAGAACACAAACTACCAATATGGGAAATGAAAAAGGGGTTATCACCATAGATCCTACTCGCATGAAAGCAAAATATAAAAATACTATGAACAACTTTATGCCAACAAATTTGACAATTTAGATGGATTAGACAAATTTCTTGAAAAATACAACTTACCAAAAACTGATGCAAGAAAAAAACCAGAAATCTAAATAGCCTTACATCTACTAAAGAAATTTAATTTGTTATCAAAAAATTTCCTTAAAAGAAAACTCCAGACCCAGATGATTTTACTGGTGAATTCTATCAAACATTCACTGAAGAAATACCACCAGTTGTTCACAAATGTTTCAGAAGATAGAGAAGGATGGATCACTGGCCAACTTGTTTTATGAGGCCAGTATAATCCTTACACCAAAACTTGAAAAAGGCATTGCAGAAAAGAAGAGAAAGGCATAGATTAATATCTTTCGTGAAGATAGACACAAAAATCCTTACCAAAATATTAGCAAGTTGAATCCAATGCTATATAAAAAGGATATAATGACCAAATAGGGTTTATCCCATGAATGCAAGGTTGATTTGACATTCAAAAATCTCACAATACTTAAAAATAACTCAAAACATCTCTTAGATCTAAACCTAGAACTATAAACCTTATAGAAAAAAACATAGGAAAAAAATCTTTGCAATATTGGGATAGACAAAGGTTACTTAGATAGAACACAAGAAGCATGAAACAGAAAAAAAAACTGATAAATTACACAATAAAAATTTTAAACTTTTGCTCTTTGAAAGACACCATTAAGAAAACAAAAAGTCATACCGGGAAAAAATATCCATGGCACACATATAAAATGAAGGGCTTGTTTCAGAATGTATAAAGACTCTTACAACTAAATAAGACAAACAACTGCAATTTTTAAAATACAAAAAAAGATCTGAACAGATATTTCACAAAAGAAGTTATATGATGGGTAATAAGCACCCGAAAATACGCTTAATATCATTGGCCATCAGGAAAACGCAAAGTAAAACCATAAGAAGATACCACCCCCCAATTATTTAGATAAAATTCAAAAGACTGACCACACCAAGCATTGGTGAGAATGTAGAGCTCTCATATACTACGAGTGGGAACGCAAAATGGTACACTCACTTTGGGAAAGAGTTTGGCAATTTCTTAAAATGTTAAACATAAACTTAAAATAGGACCTAGCCTTTCCACTCTTGGATATTTACCCCAGAAAGATGAAAATATTTGTCCATACAAAGACTTGTACACAAATCTTCGTGGCAGCTTTATTTGTAACAGCTCAAAGCTGTAAACAATCCAAATGTCCAGACTAGCTGAAAGGATAAATAAATTGTGCTACATCCATACATTGGAATAGTACACAGCAATCAAAGGGAACAAACTATTGATACAGACAACAACATGATGAATCTCAAAATCATTTACTGAATGAAAGAAGCCAGGCAAAAGGTTTACATACTGCATTATTCCATTTATATAAACTTCTAGAAAGTATAAAATAATTTAAAGCAACAGAAAGCAGGTCAGTGTTTGCCCAAGGACAAGAGTGGAGGGAGAGATGGATTGCAAAGGGGCATAAGGAAAGTTTTGGGGATGATGGAAATGTTTATTATCTTGATTGTGATGATGGTCTCACAGGCGTATACATATGCCAAAACTCATCAAATTTTATACCTTAAATATGTGCAGTTTAATAGACTTCACTTATACCTTAAAAAGTTGTAAGAAAAAGATAAGAAACAGACAAATCATACAATTCTGACTCACTTTGACTCTGAAGATACAAACTTTCTTTCACATAAATCAACACAAAAAGATGCCATCCCCATCCTACTCCTGACAACCAAAACCAGATGCTTCCAATCAGCAGGCACTCATAATTCATATGGGTTGATTAATTGATATCAGAGTCTAAAGTGGCTGCCAACCAAAACTCCTCAGAAAACCACACCTTCGTTGCCTCTTGACCAAAATGAAAAGAAGCACCATGTTTTATAGGCATCAATTTAACGAGAGAGTCAAAATGTACGTACTGGGAAGCACAATAAAGGTGGGGAACCCACTTGCCTGAAAGAATAGTTTCCAGGAACAAGGTTAGACAAACGTAAGACGGGAGAATCAGCGGACATCTTCTCTTCTCCCAGGGGCCCGTTCATTTCCTCCCAGTGGTAACTCACTATGTTAGTATCATCTGTACTTTCTAGAAAGATTAAACAATAAAGGAAAACTAGAATGAAATGCGAGAATATTAAAACATAAATTTTGTACTTTATATTATTACATGTTTAAATGTTTTTATGTGAAATTATATAATTGCATAGATTTCAAGGGATATGTATTATGTGTCAGAAGGAAGATTTCTTCCCCTCCCTAAATTATCATCACTATTTTTCTCCTGGATTTCCACCAGATTTGAGTGAGGTTGTTCCCACTCAGTTGTGAATTTAAAAAGCACAGTGACAGGTGCTACCGCATTTTTTAAAACAGGAGTCAACCAAGTGTAGCACGGTGAAATACTACTTCTACTCACTCAGCTACAGCACCTGACACCCTACTGATAATTTTAAATAGGTCTCTGTACTGACAGATTCATAAAGACCTAAGAGATGCTCATATATAATTTATAAAATGCCTTTGACTACCCTAATCATTAAGATGTAAAGCGAGAGAAACTTCCCTTTCTACTTTAAAAGAGAGCCAACAAATGTGCCATACAGAATCATAGAAATTTAGATCTGAAGGGAGCCATTTTCTTCTAATTCATTTAAGGAAAGAATAAGTTCATGTGACAGATTAACAAGCCTGAACAGTTTCCTGTACCCAAGCCAAACTGAATTAGAGAAACAAAATGTTATGCATTTTCTCTTATAAATATTTTCCTTTTTTTTGCTTTATTTTCATGTTGTTAAGGGGGAAATGTGGACATGTATATTCAAATAGATGCAAGTGATCATGTCAGTGTGATTTCTGTATATTTGCAGACTTGCAGAATGGGGCAGCATTCGTGGCTGACAAATATTCTTCTCCCAACAATCAAGGCAACTGTTCTTCACTCCACAGGATGTGGTATTAGCTTTGTGCATAAATGCAAATACTGGTGACTTTGATATTATTGAACATATTTTGTCATATATTGTCATATATCTATATAAATATTAATATATTGTCAAATATAGGACATGTTTTCAGTCTATTCTCATTTGCACGGATATCTGTAGTTACAACTGGGGTCCTATCCACATAAACTCAAATAGAAGGAATGAATGCTGAATTAAATTAACAAAACACTACCCACCCTCACTGAAGGCGACCCTTCTAATATTTGTTAAAGGTGATTTTCCAACTGCTCATCATATATACTACATCAAAAGGAGAATCTTTAATAATGGCTTTAATTCCAAATCAAGTAACTAGGCCCTAAAGAACTGTTCACAGATAAATGAGACATAACTGAAGGGAAAGTGAGCACAGGCTGGAGAAGTTGTGATGAAGGAAGTGAAAAACTTGAAGACAGAAGACTAAAGAGGGAGACGGTCCTCTATCAGCGTATTAGTCCATAAGTCCTCCCGGCCGGGATAGACAGCGCCCATTAAATCTCATAGTACATAGGGCAAAAAACCCCTACAGTATCACAGGATACACACGGCTGCCATCGATGAGGGCTGACGTCAAAGGTAGAGTGAGCTCTTGTATCTGGGGAGACACAACTGCTATAGGTGGCAGGTTGACTCTTCTGGCTGTGTGACAGGAAAAAAGGACACTGACTGAGGTCACGTTATGTATATGCATATCATTACCCAAAGAAAATCATGTGCTTTAAAAAACTGATTATAAACATCCTGTCAAGGAGGTGTTTATCCTACAGGCCTCAACTGTGGAGAATACTTTTTAAAGTTCTGGAACCGATCTATAAATTGTAGGAGCTTGTCTGCATGTATACATTTGTACATAAGCCCAGGCTCGGTGATCACATATAATAATAACCAAGGGGTTAGTCATAGAATTTGAGTAGTAATTGCAGAAAAGGAGCAATGGGATACAGTTCCAGCTCCTACGATGAAGTGGATCTTGAATCTCTGACGGAAGGCCCTCACCACTGCCGCCACACTTCAGCTATAGTTAATCAGGCAGAATGTGCCAGAGGCAGAGCTGTCGGCCCCACTGGTGGGCTGGGAGGTGAAGCTGGCACAGAGGTGGCTCACCTCAGTTGTGCAGGTTGTGCCTGCAGCATAGTCTGAGGCCAGCCTATGTGACACTCCCTGAGCCAGGACTGTGTCACCCCGACAAAGGGCCACCTGTTTCTAATTCACACACAGGCAGTGACTTATGTGCCAGCAGTGGCCTGAAAGGCCCAGTGGGCTTGAAAGCCGACGGCACACATTTTCCCTGACCCCTTGGTTGCTCCATTGAATGTGTTTGACATGCTCCTTCACCTAAGGTAAAGCTGAGTCATGGGGGACAGAGGTAGAGAAAGGCATAGAGTAAATGTCAGCAGGGAAGGCTAAGGGACAATTTGCCACCATTCTGAATCAGCAAGCAATAACCTTGTATGTAAGCTTCAACAGCAGTGTCAAGTGAGTACTAAGACTTATACAGAAAGTAGAAAGAAAACAAACAACATCCTTGCATGCTTTCTCTATAATAGACGATTGCAAAATACAAAATATATTACCATGTCATTCAGGCACTGAAAAATTAAGATAACCTGTACAACAGGAGGCCGTTCTCTTATACAGGCTTACCTGGCTTAACAGTGACATTTACAAATCCTTCTCCAAAGGCATTGTCACTAGAAACCGCTACTTTGAAGGCATAAAATCCTACTGACAACTGCAACACAAAGAAAGGTTACACAGGTAAACACGCAAAAGATTGGATGGGTCCATTGCCTAGAAAGCCTAAAACATCCCAGAAGCCATTCTCCTAACGTCAGCACAGAGAAGGGGCTCAGGAGAAAGTCTCACGTGGATCTGTGGAGACCCTGCCACCTGTCTGAAGCCTGTGCTCTGGAACACTGAAGATCACCCAGAAAGGCCTTTAGCTTAGTTACAGATGTTCGTGGGCCTTCCAGAGGCATGAGGGAGATGGGCCAGCCAAGGGCAGCAGTTCTTGTGTGTATGGGAATCATGCATCTTCAGCTACTACCTGAAGCTCTGGTGAGCCTGCTGTCTGCAGTCTGGGTCTGGGTGCCACACTTTGAGAAACAGTGCTCAAAGACTTGCAGGTGATGCAAACTTGTGCTGCACCATTACCTCGACAGTCTCAGGAATGAAGACAACCTAATCACCTAGTAGGAAACCAGACCTCTAGTAGCTAACTAAGTTAGCTTATTTATCTTCATGGCCCAGGAAGAAGGTATGTTTCTTCTCATGAGGTGCTTACATCTTGGAGCAATATTTGATACTCAAAACATTTATGAACTGGAATGGAATTATTGACAACTCTAGAACTGTGCCTAATTGAGAAGCAGAGATAACCCAGAAGGTCTCTAACACTGCAAAGAGTGCAAGAGCTAGAAAACTGAATTTCAACCTCACCACAGAGACCCCTGGACAGCCAGCCTCTTTTCCCGCAGCTGATATGCCAAGTAACTCAAATAAAGAAAAGCTATTTGAAAGCCCCCTTATTTAACCATCTGCCTGTCTACCTATATGGTTGAAACTTGATTCATTTATATCCTTCTTTTGATCTTAACCATGAGACAGACTCCCGGGTTCACCAGCTAAGAAGGAGTTAACTGAATTCTATGGTATGCTGTCAAATACAACCCACCTCTGGTTACTTACTTGAGAGAGATTAAGAGTTTGAGCGTGTCTTTCTTTTATTTCATCTTGGTAGTCTACAGGGTGGCTTATTAAACTCCATTCATAGTTGTAGGTTGTTTCTGAGAGTGAAAAAGAAATATGAGTAGTTATAAATTCTGAGAGGTCACGATATATAATCTGCGCAGAGGGAAGCAGCTGACAGCCTTCAATCCACCAGTAGAGATTAATTTGAGTATACCGAACTCAACTTTCAACTATCATCCAAGTAAGGAATAACAAGGTTTCTATCTCTTTTTAATCTAAAATTTCTTTTTTATTACAAGAACATACAACTTACAGAAAATTTAGAAAATATGGAAAGCAAAAAAAAAAAAAAAAAGATCTCCCTAATCTCACTGTTGGCATTTGATGACTTTCCTTCCAGAGTGCTGTATCTGACTAGACGTAAAGTTGTTTGGGCTTTTTTTGTTTTGTTTTTAGGAGGACTAAAGCTTAATACTGACTCTACTCATAGTTGGCCAAAGATTTTTCACAGGTTACCATGGCCTGGAACTGGAGTAAGTCATTGTTGCTTAAAGCCGATCTTTAGTACAATTAGAATGGAGGCAAACAGAAAGGGAGAGCAGGTCTGGCCTGTGAAGTCCCCAGTCTGAGACCAGTTAGATTCTCCTGTTCTGCACTCCACCCTCTTGAAGCCCCATATAAAGTGCTACAAACAGAGGACCACAGTAAGACCTCGTGTGAAAAGTCTGAAGAGCCAGGCTTGCCCATCTGACAAAATTTGTGAACAATGGCATTTCTCATTTAGACCCATGAAGTCCCCACTCCTTGAAAGGCGCACATAGTAGGTACACATTTGCTAGAGTGCCAGCATGTGTATCGCTGTGAGGTGTGCAGAGCAGGGTCATAGAATGTGATTCTATTGACTAAGAAAGCTAAAATGTTTTCCTGATCAAATGTATCTTTATATTAAAATTTACAGTGTACTTTCTAAGGCTGAGGAGAGAGACTGAAAATTCTCTAGAGGAATTTCATCAACTTTGCCCCAGATGCCCATCTTTCTCCATTGTTTTCTTAAAAGTTGGGAGACTGTCATTCTCGTTTCCAGCTGGGTAAAGATTTTACGCAGATTTTTAGACGGTATGGTGTCTCTGAGGTAAAAGCTTACCCCATCCCAGTTTTCAGCCATAGACACTGTGGAGATGGGTGGGCCTGGGCCCTATTTCACAACTTTGAATCAACAAAAATATTGTCTTTGGGTCATTCCTCCCCCAGGTTACCTCTTCCTTGGGTAGTGTTGAGGGTAGGCTTACTCAAGTCTCCTGGTTCAGGTCCCCATCTGTCCCCACCGGGAGAGATTGGTGACCTCTCCAAGCCTCAGTGGCTCATTGGTAAAATGGGGAGATGATTGGGTTGTTGCAAGGATCCATATTAATGAATGAACTCCATACTAATTCATGCAAAGTGCCAAGCACAGCCCAGCACAGAGTAAACCCTAAATAAATGTCACAGTGAGAAGCTGACAGAGAGCACACAGCCAGTGTCTGAGGTCAGGTCCAGCCATAAACTTTAAAAACAGGAACCTTCCTAATTTTCTTTCGTGGATTCTCCGGCCGAGCTTGTCTTCCCTGCTCCTGATCGGGGAGGGTTTCCTCCGGCCAACTGGTAGCCCCGGTATCGGGTTCCGGTGATGACACATGTTTTCATTTCGTTAACGCATTTTGTTTAGTTTACAGTTTTGTAGTTCTGCTGGGCAGTTCTTCGGAGCTGGGCCAGCAGTTCATCCCTGTGGCCCGTTGGTGGGTAGGCTGGAGCTCTCACTCGCAGCGGGCTGGATGGCAGACAGGCGGGTGCAAGGCTGGTCCTCACATCCCCCAGCAGACAGCCCAGGCTTCATGACCACGACTTTTAACATAGTATAAAACACCGTACTCTTTCTCCTTTTAATAAAGGGCAAGGAGATTTCAATTCATTTCCTCTGTTGTAGGGGTTTATTTAAGGACACAAAAATAAGTGAAACCTCTCTATGTTAGGATGAAGCTTTCTCCATCTTGAGATGCTAGTCGTTAAAGTATGAGGTCCCTCAGCAGAAAGGATTAAATGCAAACACCAAATATTATCATCTCTGCTTAAATTTCAATTTATATGTGATACAGAGAAAATGAATAAAGGAACTAACCTGAATGAGAAATAGTCAAGCACCTTAAGAATGGATATACCTTAAGAAAGAACGCATTTGACAGGTCACAGGGATAGGTCAAAGGTTTGCTGAATAGCGGAGCACTGGACAAGCAGAAGAAAGAGCATTTTGAACAACGTTTTTTGAACAGCTGGTGTGAGGCATCCTGAGAACCTCAGAGCCGTGTCATCAATATTGAAATTTCTGCAAACAAACCTTAGTGCAAACGCTACCGTCTCCTCCTAAGTGGAAACTTCCCAGGCTCCATGGCTTATCATAGGTCAAAATCTGGTATGTGGAAACCTCTCCTGCTCTCATATATCACTCTGCTTTGCATCATCAGAAGTTTATGACTTTCCATCCTGACCAATTAAAGGATACGTACGGTATTTCATTTCCTATCCTCTTACTCCATTTTAAACTATTTCAATAAACTCTAATGCTTACAATCATCAAAGCCTTGTCATCCACTCTAGAACCTTCATTTGTGACATCACACAATATTGCGAAAACGAATCAATGTTGTAAATAACCCCTAACGACCTGATAAATAAGCACATCCCAGCTAACCCGCCCCTAGCGGTCACAGAGGAAAGTCAAACTGACCTGCAGGTGGCGCTGGCACAACAAAAGCCTTCAGTTCAACTCCAGTTTTCGGTAAAGTTATTATTATATTATCTCCAGCAGACACCATGAGCTCTTTCACTGAAAGTTAATTAGAAATAGTGCATTCCATTATATATACCAGAATTATGTTCAACTACTGTCCTACAATAGATTTGTTTTTAGTATCCATAAAATAACATATTTTTGTAATAGTTCTTCATATGATTTTATCTAAGACACACTTTCCCTCCTGCTAGTAAATGAACTGTGCCCTATATTATGCTGCAGGGTAAACTTCACAAACTTAAAACAGTCTATGTGGGTTGGCACTGTGAAGAAATAATGATTCAGACCAACTGAGCAAGGTGTTGGGTGACAAGAGTTTTGTGAAACAGGTGTGGTACTACGGATTGGGTCTATTTTTCTCTCTTGCTGCCAGCTTTTCTTGACTCCTTGGTATGTGCTTTTTTAGTCATAAAAAGATTGAGTGCAATCATAAGTGTTTCTATATCATTAGTCACACACCACTCAGTTCTTCTGATAGTAACCAAATGAATTATTGCTAATGGCCTTGCTCTTGACACCTTTCCAAGAGAAAATGCAGTCAACCTCAATATAAAAAGGCTATTTTAACTCAAGCAGCAGAAAGATTCGCTCTCATCAAAAGCTCTTATCCACTAAATCAGTGTTCAGAAGAATGCTCGTTTACTTTCTCTATAACCAGGATTACACCGATATATTCCATTGGCTTGACTCAACTGGACATCAGTTTCACTTGTAAAATACAATTGAGATATGTCAAGATATCACACAGAGAAAAGCAAACATTAGGAAAAAAGCTGAGTGCTCTCGAGAGGTCTCAACTGCTTGGACGTGTGGTTCATTTAAATCTGCTCCTCTCAGTCAGTACTCGGTCCCTCGTCCCTCAAGTGCCTTCTTGACCACCTGCAGAGCCTTCGCTGCCTTCTCTGGCTCTTCTTTCCTGTCACTTTCACAGACTTGTTGCCTGAAGGTGAGCAACTGTGGACCTGGAAGGGACATCGATCCAAGCCTATCATTTCACAAGATGAGGAAACTGAGCTCTTGAAAGGTAAAGCAAGTTGCTTAAGGATATATGGGTAAGTAGCAATAGATCTACCAAAATTTAACTAACTTAAATGTATTTATTTCAACAACCACTTATATACCAGATTAAGCTGTACCGGGCACTGTCCCAGGGTTTTAAAATTATCAATTCATTTAACCCTCAAACAACTCCATGCAATAGGTACTAATAGGTACCCAAGGACCCTAATTCCCAGGCCAGTTTCCTCTTGAATATACTACATGGCTTCTCCTCCACCATTATCCTTCTCTGTACTTAGGGATCAAAGTAAATAATCAAGGAAGAGAGGTTAATCCTCAAAGTACGTTACCCATAGAAAGGCTCAGAAAACATGACGAAGCCTGATAACTTCTCTATTAGTAAATCTAATGGGAGCTTTTCAGTCCTCCCCATGACCTCAGCAAAACACGGTCCTCTCATTCCTCCTCCTACTTGGAATTCTCTCCTCCTTACTTCCCTCAGTCCACGCTCTCCTCTTTGTTTCCTACGTCCGTGGCACGGCCACTCAGTCAGCTCTGAAGGCTCCTTCTGCTCTCCCAGCTTACCCTGCCACTCTCCCTGGATGGTCCCATATGCCCCCAAGTCTTCAACTATAACCTTCACACTGATGACTCTTAGTCCTTTATCTTCTGCCCAAGTGCTCACTTAATTTTCAGTTCCATATATTCATATATCTCAGTCTTTTTTCCTTCAGCCTAACATTCAACCATTCATCAAATCCTAATGATTCTACCCCCTTAATATCTCTTGAATCTGGCGCCTTGTCTGCATCCCTGTGGCCACTCACTGTAGTTTTTTAACGGATCTTCTTACCTCCAGTCAACTCCATACTATTTTCTTGATTCAAATCTGATCATTTCACTTTCCTGCTTGAAATCTTTCAGGGATTCTCCATACTCATTCAATAAAACACAAATTCCTTAGCACAGAACACAGGATCCTTCAAAATCTTGCATTTCTTGCCATTCCCACTCCATTCACATGATCAGTTCCAGCCTGTACGAACTCCTTACAATTCTCCCAAAATGTCACACGTGCTCTTGTACTTCTGTCCTCTTGCACAGGCAGTGAATGAGATGATGGGTGGGAAAGGCCAAGCATGGTGCCTGGCACTCAGTAAGTGCTCAGTAAATATAATTAACATTATTGTTATTACTCATGTTGCTCCCTCGACCTGCACAACATACCAACCCCATTGTAGCTGGCTCACTCCATCCTGGCATTATCACTTCTGGAGAGCCTTCTCTGGACCTTCAAAGTAGGTCGGGTGGGGTGCCCCTTCTCTGCTCCCGTAGCATCCTCTCACAACACTTACCATATGGTATCAAACCATCTATTTACTTGTCAGTCTTGTCTTCTGGCCTATAGAGTCACTGAGGGAAAAGACAATGACTATTCATCTTTTAATCCCCAGTGTGTAGTATTCTGGCACATGGTAAATGCTCAAAAATGTGCCTGGAGGGAATGAGTAAACTTCAAAAGTTGTCTCTACTATATTCTACAGCATGTCTCCAATACATTCCTTCCAGTTGTATTTTTTTAAAGTTACCTGTCCTGGGAGCAGTGGGAGCAGATCCAGGTTGCTCAGGTGTGGCAGACTCAGTGGGAACGATGCTCGTGGTAAGGCTTGGGATGCTATGCTCTGTGCTCTGTGGGGCGACTGTGAGAACTGGGCTTTTCTCCACCATGGCTGGGCTGAACTCCAGGCTGGCTGGAGGAGGATTATGGGAAGGCATTAGAACCTAGGAGATCAATTACAAGGGTAAGTCGTTATGGAAAAAAACAAGGTTGAAGTCTTCAAGCCAACACAATGTCAGTGACCTTTTTCATTCAGTAGCATTTGAAATACCATGTCTAATATCACAAAACTCTAGAACTCTAAACCATCTCTTTCAAATATTCTCTCTGCTATCTATTAAAAATGCAAGGCAACAGTGGGTTAGACAATTATTATAGGCAAACACACACACACACAAAATATTCAAGATAAAGAGAGAGAAAATAATTAAGGTAGCCCTTGAACTAATCAGTAAGACAATAATTGAAGACAATCAGATAATTCAACTGTGAACAGGCTTCTAGAGTAAATGATCTCTATTCATCCGTTGTGTATAAACTATAACTTGAAGTTTGGTTATAACTTTGTTGAAGTTATGGTTATAGAGTTAACCAACTTAAAGTTTTTCAATTAAATATGTGCCAGAGAGAAGTCTCATAATATGAAAATAAAATGCTCTTCTGAGCCTCAACTGCCAGTGACTGTGTGGTGCCAAACTCAGGCTAAGAAGACAGGAGACCCAAAGGGGAAATTGCACTAAGAACGCCACAGAAAGAAAAGCTATAATTCACACGTAAACTGGAGAGGGGGCTGTTGGTGTTTACTGAAAACAGCTACTCTTTGCTGTTGAGAAAAGAACACGGCAGACATTTTGTGACTGGATAACTGATATCACAGCTAATATTAACTGAATACCCACTGAGTTCCAGATATTGACTAGGCAAGTGGCGACACCTTCAGCAACAAATTTCAGAAACCAAGGCAAAAAGAAGATTAAGCGTTAACGTGAAAATATATTGATCAGACTAAGAGAAATCAATTGACCAACATTTTAAAAATCAGGTAGTGGGTCTACTACAGCTTTAAGATGCTCGATTTCCTTGAAGTTTCAGGCATCTGGGTTTGTGAAGTGACTGCCAATATATGAGGCTTTTCATTGCATCTGTACTTTCTGAGAATAGCATGAAATTCAGAATCACCGCAAACCAGAGTTTCAGAATACGTATTCAAAGCATATGATAGTGGGGCCGCTGCAAATTCCACAAGATGAACTGGATTTTTTTAGCCTTACAGAATCTTGAAAAAATATTGCCATGTTGAAATAAAGAATGAAGTCTGTAGATACTAAGACACTTCTGGTCAAGGTCTCCAAGTCACCAGGAAATGGCTGAGAGAGAAGAAAATGTCACTCCTGCCTCCTCTCTAGAACATTCTCTTTCCCACCATGCTGCCTCTCTAGGCTGGAATCACACGCCAGTTCTTCACTTTAGCTATTCAGTCATCTTTAAATGACCTCCACGTAGAACTCTTTGCTAAGTTATCAGGATACAGATCCTCTTTGACATACTCCACCCAAAGAAAATGGATCTTCTATGGAAGCAACTGAGCACCAGCGGCCCCCATTTTAGCTTTTTGATGTAAAGCCGAGGCTGGTCAATAAAAGTCTCAAATGACTCGTTTCATTTCTCTACTCTTATTTACTTTGAAACAACTTGTTTTAGGTGAATCTGTCTAGTCTTGTGCACTTGAAAACAAAACTGCAGAAAATGTGTTTTATCCTCTACAAATTTAATCTTGATTTGTTTCAAATTCCCTGAATTTGTCCTATTCAATTGCAGTAATTTATGAATACTGCTGCTATGAACATTCACGTTCAAGTCTTTGTGTAGACACATGTTTTCATTTCTCTTGGGTAAATACTAAAAAGTGGAATTGCTGGTGTAGGGCAACAGAATTTGCTACCCCAAAATATGTCTCTTTGGCTTGATTATTTTTAAGAACAAAAAACTCAGGAAGAAACTGTGACCTCCTCAACTGCCTAAAAGAATTTAAGGTAGAAAGCCTGTTCCAGGAAGGAGCAATCACCATACATAACTATAGTATATTATGAACTAGGTGTGGTAGACAGGGAGGAACCCAGCAAGGCCCATGTGATCCAAGTCCCCTCCATGTCCCATTATCTTTGCAAGGTATGGCAAACGTTTGTTTACAAAACATTTGCATTTCCATCTCCAGGTGAATTTCCTTCTTTCCCTTTGAAGTCCCAAACTACTACCTCCAACATCCTCCTTTGTCTTTAGCTGAAGATGGTATTTAAGGTGGTGGCTTCAGCCATTTTGGCCATTTCCATTTTCCTGGGTTTCTCCCATGTATACATGTTATTAAACTTTGTTTGATTTTCTCCTGTTATTCTGTATCATGTCAATTTAGTTCTTAGACCAGCCAGAAGAATCTAGAAGGCTAGAGCAATATTTCTTCCCCCCCTACACTGGGGCATATAGTAATTCTAAGTTTAACATTTTGAGGAACTGCCAGATGTTTTCCAAAGTGCCCGTACTATTTTACTTTCCCACCAGCAGTGTCTGAGAGTTCCAATTTCTCTATATCCTTACTAACACTTATTCTCGGTTTTTTTCATTCTAGCCACTCTAGTGAAGTAAATCTCATTGTGGCTTTAATTTGCATTTCCCTAAAGATTAATGGTGTTAAAACAATTAAATGAGGAGGCCATTAGACCAAGGTGGCTCTAATGCCCTGGCAGCCTAAGCAAGGCCAACTAGGCTTTAAGCTATACCCAATCAATAATTTTCTTACTTTGCCTCCAGCTTTGCTCTATCAAAGTCTCCCCATGCGCTCCTGCTGGTAGAGCACTCCTTCTGGTTTGGCGTTGCCCAGTTGGAATGGATTTTTGCTTTAACTCTTAAAATTTTTCATATGCCTTAGTTTATCTTTTAACAATGGTATTGAGTATCTTTTCATGTGCTTATTGGCCATTCTTCTGACTTCTTTGAAGCAACATCTATTCAGATCCTTTGCCCATTTCTAACTGGGTTGTCTTATTATTCAGCTGTAAGAGTCCTTTATATATTCCAGATACAAAATTTATGGTATATGATTTACAAATATTTTATCCCATTCCATGGGTGTTCACTTTCTTGGTGTTCAATACATTTTGACTTAATTTTTTTTAACATGGTATGAGGCAGGGGCCTATCAAAATTGACTACAGTGGAGCCATTTTAAAATGGAGTCAGAGCTGCCTTTCCAAAGAAACTGCTTTGCTGTCTTGAACCTTGGACTGGGACGAACCTTTGGACTGGGCCAAAATAGCAATTGTTTGAGAAAGCAGCAGGAGCACGGACACCCTGATCACAAAAATGAGGACTGCAGACCTTCTGAAGAGAGAATCAATAGTCAACCAACACTTAGCCAAGATTAGCTCTCTTCCTTCAATGCCAATTAAAATTATAATACAACCTTCCTTCTTTGCCTTTAAAAGCCCCTGACTTTTACTCCCCAGAGGAACACATTCTGGATTTCTACCTGTGTCTCCCAAATTGCAATTCTAATTGCCCAAATAAAGATCTGCTGTTTAAATTGTAGTGATTTTTCATCAGTTGAGAGGCCTAAATTCATTCTTTTGTATGGGAATATCCAGTTACCTCAGTACCATTTGTTTAAAAGACTATTCTTTTCCCCCATTGAATTTTCTTAGCACATTTATCAAATACAAGTGTACTATTTTAAACACTTTTTTGTTGAGAGAAGAAATCTTTCTTTCTATCAATATTCCAAACTTTGCACTTCCTCAGAATAAAATCATATTTCTTATTATGATACCTATCTGTTTATCAACACTTATTCAAGGATTAACTATAACTCAATGCAGCTCAAAAAAATTTAATGTGACTGTAGGGGATAAGTTGTATTTCAATGGAAAATAAAATACTGTCTACAGGATATCCTGCCAGGTTATCTGATTCTAGTATTTCTTGTATTTGAGCAATCTTACAACTTTATAAGTTGTAGGTAACTGATAACAATGCAAAATAATTCTTGTCTATAGACATGTAGATTTTACCCCGTCTGGTAGAAATTAAAAATTGAGCTCCCTCCCCTCCTGCCTGGAAAAACCAGTTTTGCCTCCATTTGCACATTTATTTCAACATTGTTGATCTACGAATGTTTTCATTCTTTGGATTTTTTTGTGCAACAATTATAACATTTTCCTAGTTGGCTCAATGATTAATGAGTGACTAAAATCTCTAACACATGCTCATTTTATATATGTACAAGTCATGATTTTACCTTTGTTTGATTGTTATCTCTTAACATAAACAACCTCAAAGAACTCATGAGCCAAAACATTTTTAATAGAGCTTGATTTGAAACACTTCCATCCATAGAAGCTAGAAAGTAAATGATCTGGTAACATAAAAGATAGCATATTATGTTAATATTTAGTGATATGAGAAAAGAACATGGTTAAGTTTTGACAGTTTCAGATTATTTTTTAATTGAGTTTTAAAAATTTTAAGACAATTGAAAGTACAGAAAAATATAGAAACTTTGAAAAGTATTGTAAAGTACACCAAAACAGAAAAACACTTCTGATAATCTCACCATTAAAGAAACTTTTTTTATGGTTGAGATTGTAATGTATAGGCAATTCAATCCAGCTTTCTTCACTTACTCTAACCTAAGCACTGATATCTCCAATAGTATTTTCCTTTAAAAAAAGTCTTAATTGGTTTATGTCCCTTTACATTCCGATCTGTCCTCTTGCATCTTGAAATACAATAGTTTCTCCCATGACCTGTCCTTTTGTCACTTTGATGAGGATTATTTTAGGCTGGTTACTTTTAAAAACTGCAGATGAGAAGGAGGCTCTGAGGAGTGGAATTTGCTTGCCCTTTGATAAGAGATATTTGCATTTGTGAAGGAAGTCTCCATCTGTGGGGGGTGTCTCCCTCTCTGCACCAGGAGGAAGGGGGGATGGCCTTATCTCTGGAAACTCTTAATGCAGAAGGCAAGGACTTAAGTTGTTTACTGCCTGGTAACCTCATGTAGCTGACTCCCCTCACCAGCACCATCCTCCTTTGTCTTTAGCTGAAGATAATATTTAAGGTGGTGGCTTCTGATATTTACTTAATCTGGTTTGATTCTTATCTAAAAGTTACAGGACCACCCAATAACCACACCCTACCAACACTGATACCATTTTAACAACTCTTTTCACATATTCTTTCCTTTGTCTTGTAAAGAGATAACTCACATACCTATGCCTTAAATTTAGCCCTACGCTCAACCCATGTTTGCAGTAGCAGCTCCTCCTGCCCGTGGGTCCTGTCCCCATGCAGCAGCTCTGACTGCCCGTGGGTCCTGTCCCCATGCAGCAGCTCCTCCTGCCCGTGGGTTCTATCCCCATGCAGCAGCTCTGACTGCCCATGGGTGCTGTCCCCACGCAGCAGCTTTGACTGCCCGTGGGTTCTATCCCCATGCAGCAGCTCTGACTGCCCGTGGGTTCTATCCCCATGCAGCAGCTCTGACTGCCCATGGGTGCTGTCCCCATGCTATTCCATACTATTTTCTAAATAAAAGAGCACTACTGCCAGACCTTGAGAGTCCAAGAAATCTTTCTTTCGACTCCTCGGCTCACTGACCCCACATCAACTTCCTTTCCAACTGCATTCGGGGTCCCCTAATCAATGTGCTCACCACATTCTCATCAAGTCCTGCCTGGCATTTCCCAGATGAGCAGCTTCTGAGCTCTCCAACTACTCTCTCCTCACAGCAGTCTCCTTTTCTATCTCCTTGACCTTCTGCCAATCACACTTGAACCTTCCCCCTGCTTTTGGAATGTCTACTCTCCCAGAGATTCCTACGCTGTTTCACCTGGGTTTTTCATGGGAAGTTTTGTACAGTATAGCTTACATTCTCTCCTTAGTATCTCTCTCCTCCTATCCAACTGATTCACGTCACTGGTGAATTTTTAGCAACCCACGCACCCGATGGGTCTCGAAGAAACTGCAGGGGTGCAGAATATGTCATCCCAAAATATGGCACTTGACATATTGATTATTTTGAATTAAAGGTACTTGAGAAATAATCCAGTGCAAGAAGGACATTCTGACCCTCCCCTGTCCCCCTGAAAGCAGAAGAAAAATCTCCCGCATGAAAGGTACCCTCCCTGTAAGAGGAGGATAGAAGGCATCCTTATCACCAGAGATAGGAAATTTAGGGCCACGGAGGCTGCATAAACAAATCTTGTGTTAAAAAAAAAAAGACAACAGACCCAGAATGGAGTCAGTTATGCTAAGCTCCATGTCCCCAAACCATGATTTCACTTAATTACAGTTTCAGCTCTCCCAGAAATGGAAGCTTAAACTAGTCAATCAGAATCATCTGATCGGCACTAATGAGGTCATCTGCCTGATAGACCCCTGTCATTCCCTAAAGGAAAGGAACTTTGCAATAACCAACAGGCTTTTTTGTCTAGTATAACTTCCTTGTTCCCACTCCCTTCTGGCTATACAAGTTTTTCATTTCGTACAGCTCCTCAGAGCTTCTTTCTATCTGTTAGATTGGATGCTGCCTGATTTGAATTGATTTTTGCTCACACAAACGCTTGAAATTTTTAACATGCCTCAGTTTATCTTTTAACAGTTCTTACTTGTTCATCAAGCCCAGAGCACTTTGTCCTGTCAATTGTTCACAAATTTACTGTTTATTTTATCTAAAAGATTGCTGCTTTGGTCATTTCTTTGAGTCTCATATTTTCATGAGACTCCCCAACATACAAAATTAAATTGGTTTTTCTTTTCTTAGTCTGTCTTATTTCAATTTAATTAGTAGACCAGCCAAAGAACCTAGAAGGGAAGAAAGGAAAACTTTTCTGCCCCTACAAAACCTACGATGATAGATTTTCAAAGCCCCAGGGTATATGTGCTGTGTACATGGGCTGGCTCCTGGGACTTCTATAAAATCCTCATTCACCTTGGATACCGATAGAGGCATCTCTAGGCAGAAGCACTGAATCATCATTAGGTGGCTCACTTGTGAAGGCAGAACAACTATTTCTTCTTTTAAAGTCTGGTCACGAGAGCACAGCAGAGGAACAAGGCGTTCTCTTTCCTGGAAGGCTCTGAGAGTCATTGTTCTTGCTGACACCTGAGACAGCTGCCCTTAGGAGGAACCTACTGGCTCTGAAATGAGTGCCTGGAGCATTGCAGCGTAATGAATGTCTGGCTCTGAAAAGCAACCTCAGCCCCTCCAGCCGTCAGCTCTCCTCAGTCCCTCCCACCCCCTCAAGCACATACAAACCACACCTACCTGTTTTCCAGGGCTGTTGCTGGATTGTTCCTGGAGCTGAAAAGTCTCTTTCTCCAACACCTCTCCTGAAGATGGAGTAGTCACCAAAGGAAGCAACAACCTTCTCTCCGGAGAGTGTTTTGGGGCTGGGGTCCATGCCGACTCGTTTAGCTTATGGAGCTCCCGGTCCAGATAACGGGGCTCAGGGTCCTCCTGCTGCTTCTCCGCTGATGCTGCTGGGCTGTCTCCAGCAGAGGAGTTGAAACGGCCCTCACCACCTGGTAGGAAGCCCCAGTCAGTGTACTCGGCACTCCCTCTGGGCTCCTGCTTGCTGATGGGCTGGAAGATGTCCTGCTCCAGCTCCTGATAGTCGTCCGAGTACTCAGACATCTCCTCTAGGCCCCCATCTTTGCTTAGAAAAGGCAAGTCCTTTCTGATATCCTCAGGTGAGTCCCCCCAGATTCCTGATGGGGAACCCCTCTTTAGCATCATCTCCCCAAAGTCCAGCAACTGTGCAGGCCGCGGAGCAGGCCTGACCACAAAGGTGAGATAAGACCTCATGGAGTCCATCTTCTTGGGCTCACAGTTCTCTTTGTGTGGGCAGCTCACCAGGTAGCAGCGGCCTTCAAACCACCAAGCCAGGTCACAGCTGGACAGGTCACAACAAGCGGCTGTGCAGTCCACCGTGGGGGTGGTTTGAGGCACCCGCATGATTCTGGTAGTTTCCAAGTTAGGTAAAATGATTGCATTGGAATATGTCCTTCCCTCACTGCACTTCATACAGGCGCACCCTGCAAACAAGGCAGATTCCAATGAGGACGAGAGGCATGTCACATCTGGGAAGCAAATAAACATCCAGCATTTCCTAGAGAACGTCCACTGCATTATCTTGCAGTCCATCCATCAACACACCTCTCCATACATTTATCCTCCTGCCCTTCCACCCTCACCCATCCATCCATAGATTCTTCCACCTGTCCATCTCACCTTCCTTCTCTCGTCATGTAATGTTACTCCACAAGTGAAAAGAAGCATTCTTTTCTATGTGGGTACTGCTTTTATATTATTTATATTTTGCTTCTCACCCAAAATTCAGTTATAAAGGTTTACTTTAGGGACAACATCATATTGTTGCTGTTGTTAACTGGGTTTTTTTTTAATCTCACAGGTTATTCTGATGATAGAGCAAATTGACAGGGAAACATCAAAGGAGAGAAACACTTGTCCTCCATGCCGATCTCTGACAACCAGCTTTAATCCGATTCTAAATAATGAACTACAGATGTTTCCAAGGCATATACAGCAGGTATTAGAGTGGTGCCACACAGGTGTGGTCTGCAGACACAGGGCCACAAACTGTCACCAATCCATGACAAAATAACAGAACTTGAGGCTTTTAGAAACTGCTATAGCAATTTGTCATTGCCTGAAATGCAAGTGCAAAATCACTTTTCTTTTTTGTTTATTTGTTTGTTGATATTTTACAGGATCAGTCTATGTTGGATTGGAAATAAGAATAAATGGGTCCCTCACCACATATGGTTTGAGAAGCACTGTATCTGAGTTCTGCGGCAGAACTCAGAATGGCAAGAGATCGCCTTCCTAGTGAGGGCTCATCACTGACAGTTCTTTTAATAGCTGGGACTTTTTTCATAGTGACAGTCAGAGATTACTTCTAACTGGAGGTAAGAGACATGGTTAAATACAGTATATGAATCATCTTTATTTTTACCTGTGCATATGTCATTATTGTTATAATTTTTTTTTGGAAGAAGAAGATTAGCCCTGAGCTAACATCTGCTGCCCATGCTCCTCTTTTTTGCTGAGGAAGACTGGCCCTGAGCTAACATCCATGCCTATCTTCCTCTACTTTATATGTGGGGCGCCTGCCACAGCATGGCTTGACATTCGGTGTGTAGGTCCACACCCGGGATCTGAACCAGCAAACCCTGGGCCACCAAAGTGGAATGTGCGAACTTAACCACTGTGCCACCAGGCCGGCCCCTGTTATAAATTTTTAAGAATCATTCAGTGCCAAACATTGACTCTACAGGAAAGTTTAATTGGTCCAACTTAATAGAAATTAGATATAGTAGATAAGCTTCTTTCCTAAGGAATAAGCAAGCAATAAATTCAACTGAAATGACATTTTCTCAAACACAAATCTACTTTTTAAAAATCACCTTGATAGTTTTAGCCTTTTATTTTCTAAAGAAAAGCTTAATCTCAGATATGGAGGGGGAAAAAACAACTCCAGCTGAACATAGGAAAATAGCATTTCTAATTAAGTCAAGAGATGATGAAGGGTGGAGAACAGAGACAGGTAATCTGCAACTCCCAGCTCTACTCTTAAAAATATTGCCTTTATTTGTAAGGATACCACTACATCCCTGTGTGGCCTTTAAATGAAGATCCAAGCTAGAGATTTCTTTCAAACACAAATGGCAGGATATGCTGTATTTCTCTTGAAAAACTGTTGGGTCATCTCCTTTTGGACAATGTGCTTCATAGAAACTATCATGTTCCATTTCTGGCTCTGGCCACGAGACAGCTCAAAAGCCAACTTGTAAAACTGTGTTCCAGGAACCACCGTACAGGGAAAAGGCTGTGATCCTGGAGCAAGCAAATTGTTACTGGTGGGTAAGGAGGACTTTCCATGGCAGAAGCCTTCAACACAAAGCTTTAAGCAGGTTTCAGTCAGGTAGACTGCCATACACCTCTGGGGCAGATTATCTCTTTGTTCTGCAGAAAGTCACCTTAATGGGCTGTTTAGATATACACACTTTAACCAAAGATCTTAATGCAAAATAAAGAAGTTTGAGAAGGTGGGGTTCCCAACAAATAAACTGTTCTTCCTTTGGGCCAAGTTCCCATAATTAGTTCAGAATCTATTAGACTCACTCTAGAAAGCTCTTGAAGAGATCAGAGAACACTCACCCATGTCTGTAAGCTCTATAAATTCCCAGCCCAATCCATGCACACAGTAGGCACTCCATGATTGTTGACATCAATAAAATAATTGGTTAGCATTTTTCCAAGGTAAAGAGGATAGAGAGGGAAGATAGGGAAACTGCAAATAACATTACTGGGGCTCCATAATTCAGGAATTTTGAATTAACGGAAAACATCTCACAAGAAAAAGACAAAAAGGAATGAAAAAGCGGGGATTTGAGAGAAAAAAAATGAGTGCTCAAACATTAATGACAGTATTTTCCAGAGTACAGAGTACGCTAAGCATGGAATAAGGAGCATTTTGTCTCACACACTAAGCGGTGGTGAGTTTAATAAGATGGATGGATGGCATGGGGACACTAATCTCCAGGGAATGACAGGGCTTTTCCAATGGTAGCATTTTCTAAAGTTGCCCTTGTATAATCTAAAATGGTGCTTATAAAAATCTAGATGCTTCAGAATCCTGTCCAGGTGCTTATTGACTCCTGAGCCACACCCAATAGGAGTTCTGATAGAGTAGATCTGGATGGGTCCTAGGAAACCGCATTTTAACAAGGGTCACACTAAGGTAAGCCTCATGGTTTCACCACACTGACGAACCCTAGACATAAAATCAGTTTCCCTGGCCATACGTCTAACCTCAGTCCTTGGTAAGTTCAAATGGGCTTGGCTGGCCTCGCCCAGGCCATAGATCACCAGAATTGATGGTCACCAATGATTTTATGCATTAGGTGTACCCACAGTAAGCAAACAGAATATATGAAAATAAAGATTTATGATAAAAGAGAGTCTGGTCATTTGTTTTCCAAAAAGATCTACTGTGCAATTCTTTTAAATAAATATATAAATAGAAAGTTTTCCTAATATATATGAAATGTGATTTTGTTTTCCCCAAAAGAGTCATGATATTAAAAAACAATTTAAATTCCTGTTTCCAGAAAACCACTCATGCATGCGGTCTGCCTTTCATGCCTTTTATATGTAAAATAATTCTTTTGGAAAGCAAACACATAGCACCTTCACTTCAGGTTGATCTGAGTTGTTTAAGCCAGACAGGAAGCCCAGGTGTGACACTGGTGTCTCCAGGGTAATGGTTTCCTACCTGCAATGGTCACCAGCAGCAGCAATGAAGAGAGCGCACCTGTGGGGGGCGCCATTTTACCTCACACAGTGGGTGGAGGCAGGCTTCTGAGACAGCCCTGAGAGGCCTTTGGTGCACACTTCCTTTGATGTTAGGAGCCAGATTTGGCCTCAAGAACTTCAAAGGAAAAACAGAAAGGAGACAGGAAGGAAGAAAAGAATAGGTAAATGTGAAAACATACACAGTTATTTCTCTCATTTATTCATGTCAGTGGGAAGCCCATCCCATGAACAGCACAGGGCCACATCCCAGGCAAATCATCCACCTGAAGTTTGTTCAAACAGCAAGTACAGTTCCTAAGAAGAGGCAAAGGGTTTCATGCTTTCTCCCCTTACAAGCCCAAACCTATGAAATAAGACAGAATCAATCATACTGCTACATTTTATCAATTCTAACATGCAAATATTTTCATACTTTACCATCTCTGAAATAGGGAGTCTTAAGTTGGCCAAGCACTGGGCAGGAAATAGATGCCATTGCTTGTGCATACTGACTGACTATGCAGAACTGGTGTCAGAGGCTTGGAAGGAAGACAACGTGAAGCACTCTTTTAAGAAATGCTGCATCCCCAGTGCTTGTGACCGCACAGCACAACATTGTGTGGAAACACAGATATCACTAACTGCCTTGACAAGGGATTCAGCAGAAATGGACTAAGATTGTGAGGAAATTTAAGATACCTTAATTTATATTCACTTATAGATCCTTTTTTTCTACTTTTTTCTTTTTTGAGGAAGATTAGCCCTGAGCTAACATCCACGCCCATCTTCCTCTATTTTATATGTGGGATGCTGCCACAGCGTGGCTTGATAAGCAGTGCCTAGGTCCACGCTGAGGATCCCACCTGGCAAACCCTGGGTGGCCAAAGCAGAGCGCCTGAATTTAATCCCTGCACCACTGGCACGGCCGCCCTATAGTTCTTTTTTACATATGCACAACAATGGTTTACGATAAAATTCTGCCTAAAGAAATCTCTTTCATTGGGTAGAAATACTCTAAATGATACAAAAGCAATGTACCATGGTATGATACAGGATTTTTTCTTTAGTGGTATTTAAAATAATGATGTATCTTATAATCACTAGCATCTTAGATTCAATGAAATATGGTAAAATTAGCTTTTTATTTTTGCCTGGCACTTTCTTTAGTGTGATCTTCACAACAATCCAAGCAATATTATTATCTCTGCCTTACAGATGATGAAATTGAGGTTCAAAAAAGTTCACTGGGGCTGCACTATGGCCTAGTGGTTAAGTTCGCAGGCTTCGCTTCAGTAGCCCAGGGTTTCACCGGTTCGGATCCTGGGCGCGGACATGGCACCGCTCATCGGGCCATGCTGAGGCGGCATGAGCCAGACAGCATGCCACAGCAGAGCTAGAGAGACCTACAACTATGTACTGGGGGGCTTTGCGGAGGAGAAGAAGAAGGAAAACAAAAAAAGAAGATTGGCAAGAGATATTAGCTCAGGTGCCAATCTTTGGGGAAAAAAAATGAAGAAGAAGATTAGCTAAAAAAATAAATAAATAAAGTTCATTGATTCACCCAAGACTGAAAAACCAGTATTAGGAGATCTGGACCCCTAGTACTTGCTATTTCAAATACATAACAAAGGCTCCCAGGAGGAAGCACACCTAGATAAGGGCTTCCTAATGAGTGCGTCAGAACCTTGCTGTGAGTTGCAAGTTGGTATGTTATGGTAAACTAGATTTTAGTTCCAGTTCACGCCACTCTCCTCACCTACTCTTTTGTTCCCTCCCCATCCACACTTAGACTCAGCCTTTTATGACAGAACAAGACTCCTCACCTCCCCTCCCTCTTTCCAGAAGCATCTCAGTACATTTAGAAATTTCAAGTGTACCAGGGATGGCAAAGAGGGTGACACACCCTGACAGACGCCTCCTAGCTGGATTCAAGAATAACATGGCAATCTAGGGAAGGTGGGAGGTATCAAAAGACAAAACTAAAACAATTTAGTAATGAGTTTGATGTCCTTTATTGAAGGGAAAACAATCCGTGGATTGGGGGAGCGTAGTGCCTCACAGCAATGGAGTGTGGTTCCCCTGGGGGCGGGGGGGCTTTGGGCAAGAGTGAGGTTTCCTTAGAAGGCTCGCAGGGCCTATTTCCAGGGTAAGGTGAGCTAGCTAGAGCTGAGGTGGAGGATGGTGATCGCTGTTTATTAAGTTTCCTTGACAGGTGTTTCCCACAAGTGCACGCTGACTGAGGTTTAGTTTTGTGCCATGGGCCTGGCCACTGGGGTAGCCTCCATCTTGTGGGTCCTGATATACAAATGAACTTTAGCAGAGGCAACTGGAAAGGACAAGGAGCCTACAAACAAAATCAAACACAGCGTTCTATGGAAGGGGGTTTTGGAACTGCTGGACCTCTTGCAAGGCTTCATCAAAAACCACTCAAACTTAGAAGAACGCCTCCTGTTGAATTGCACTGATGGCTCTGACACAGACCACTTGGGACAACGTTGCTGCCCACCCTACAACCATTACCGGCCAGTGCTCGAGGGAGGTGAAAGGGGACCTCCAAGGGCCCAATGTTATTGAGCTGAGTTAGACCCAGAGACTAGAAAGGAACCAGAGTGAAGGTGACCTTGGGTAAAGTCAGGAAGTGGGTACAACACTTCTCTGTGGCAGGATGACAAAGCCCATCAGAACACCAGCTTCATTAAGGTAAAGCGGAGAACATAAATGTTCAGGAAGAGTCCCATAAGCTTCATGCCTAAAACCCCAGAGAAAGAACAAAAAACAAAGAGTTTGCCACCAATAACTTCCTTTCGCTCCAGTGAGGAAAGTGTGGTTTGAGATGAGAAGAGGATAGAAAGGAAGACTGGCCATCTTCCATCTACACTAAGTGACCACTCCCGACCCAAAAGGCAAGTGGACAGCAGCCAGCCCTCTAGGAATGGCATTCAGTCAGCTGCCCAAGACAGTGCCCCAGAAAAGCAGTGCTGCTGTCAGCCACGGACAACTGGTCAAGAATCCAGGGATAAAGGCTAGGCCTCCACCATATCCTCGGGTACCTTTGGGCAAATTAAGAAAAGGTTTGTCTCTGGGCAGACAATGCTCCAAAGACACACAGCTTGGCAAATGGACTGTGGGCCAAGTTTCCAACTCCTTGACCCTATGGCAGATACCCTTGTGCAATGTACCTTCGCAACCAACCACCATATTGTACCTGAAACGCTCTAGAAAGCAATTCATTGTCAGTATCTCAGTGCAAACTCAGAGTGCTCAGCAACAAAAGCATTTCCTATCCTCAATATCATATTTAAGGTTCTTCTATTCAGTACATTAATGCAAGCAAACAACAGATCTCCATTTCCTCGACATTAAAAGGCATATGGACTAGATGTTATCAGAAGTCTTTTCAGCTCTAATAGTTTACAGACTTCGCTTTTTTAAATACACATTTAGTACCTCATGGGTTAAATTAGGTTTTGATGTATATTATCTTATTTGATTCTTGTAACAATTCTCTCTGAGGTAGGAGTTCTTATTATTCCCATTTCACACAAAAGGAAACTGAGTTTCGGAGTCAGTCTTTAGACTCTAGATCTTGAGTTCTCCCTGTCGCAGCCCCAATCCTCGTCTAGGGTTCTGAAAGCACCGTCCACTCTGGGTTACTTAAGAAGACCTTCCTTACTTATTCAGTCTCTGAATTGTCCAACTTTCTTGATAGAGTCATGCTCTCTCCCGCTGCTTGCCTTTTGCCACCTTCCTGGTTTCACATCCTCATTAAAGAGGAAGAAAAATATTAAAGAATTCACATAGAAATCCTGTCTAGCTTTCTAAAAATTTTGATCAAAGGTAAAGTTAAATCTGAGTGGTAAAATAGGGCTTTTAAAACAAGCCTTAACAAGTTCAAAACGTTATAAATAGTACAAATCCAGATAGCCTTACATAAACTCCGCATGGATCAACTTTATACATGGAAAGATCTGAAGGAAATGCCCCTCCCAAGGTGAAAACTGGTGAGAATAATTTTTCTCTCCCATTTGATGATTTTTTTCTCTTCCTTTTTTTTTTCTCTCTTATCTGTGTTTTCTACTTTTTTCTAAACTGAAAACATCTTACCTTTATATCAATAAAATACAATTATAATTCTTATATTTAAAGAAGGCTTAGCTATTTTGACATGGTCATTCTAACACAGCAGCTTTAAAAAAAATTACCAAGTGGTACGTAGAACAGATATTTCTGACTCCTGACATCTCTGGCTTGATCTTGCTCCTAAACCCCACTCCATTTCTGGGCTGCCTATCACGCATGACCCCTAGACCATCGCAGAAGCCTCATCCCAATTGCATTCTTTCTCTTTGGATGATAGTGATGCCATCACTGTTCAGAGATGGCGTAAGGAGGGCTCAGGGATGGGATCAGAGAATGAATGAGACATAGGAATGGGGTGAGCCCAGAGATGCACAAAGCACAAAAATATATTCAACAAGTAATGATGGAGCCCTTCTTGTGCCAGGACCTGGACAAGAAAGGGATGAAGGTCAAGGAGGCAGAAACAGTGAGGCTCAAGAATGAGGTGAGGGTGACTGTGGCAAAGACTGCTGGGCGTCTACTCAGTGAACGTTCTCCCCATATTCTTTAGTAAGAAGACTCAGATAATTATTTGGGGCACCAGGGTGCCCAGCTAAGACACTACATTTCCCAAACCCCCTGGAGCTTAGTGAGGTCATGTGATTAAGTTCAGGCCAATCAGATATAAAGAAACTATTGTATACAACTTCTAGGAATAGCTCATTTTGCTCTCCTCCTCTTTCCTCCTTCCTGCTCCCTAGAACACAGCACGAAGGCTAGGACCCAGCAGCCATCTTTGACTATGCAGAGGCCTTGAGAATGCAAGTCAATGCTAGAAAGATGGGAGGTCCCTGATGACGTGGAGAAGCTGTACTAGCTCTCGACTGCCAACCTTTGAGTTCTTCTGAGGAGGAAATAAACTTTTATCTCATTTATGCCACTGCTTATCTTGAACTTTTTACTATAAGGAGCCAGATGTTATTTTAATGGGTAAAAGACATTACTTAGTCTTCTTTTTTTTCAGTGCAGGGGTTGCAAAATGCCTAGGTTCAGGTAAGCTCAGAGCAGAGACATATAGTGAATGACAGTTGCTTTATGGAGATCTCAAATACTATAAAAGGCCAAAACTTTATGATAACTTAGTTATTTTTTAAAGTGGCAAATATGCCCATGAATTCTGAAACCACTTATATGATAGCCAGTATATGCTTTCTTACAGGAGTAATTAATTTTTTCAAGCATATGTATATTTTTCTCCAACTAAATTGTAAACTTCTTGAGGAAAGAGATCAATCTTAAAACATAAGTTGATATATTTTGGCTTCTATTTTACTAATTTTTCACCTACTAACATTAACAATTTTAGGTTTTAAAAAGCTAATCTTTTAACACAAGTATACATTTTAAATAAAAATGCTTCTTTAGTTAAAAACATTTTTTTTAAGTGACAGATGATTTCAAAATTGCTGGTATGCATGTGAATAACTTGCAATCCCTGTGAACAAAGTGACTGTATTGTAGAAAGAAGACACCTAAATGTCTATTTTTAAACTTCAAGGAGACAATATTTTTTAAAAAGTAGAAGATTAAGTTATGTCTAGTTTTTCTTAAAATTTTTACCATTAACAACCACCAGTTAGAAGAAATAGTGGAAGGCTATAGCAACAACAAAAAAACTACAGATGATATAGTAGAAGAGCACAGCAAAAACAGCAAACAAAAAAATAAAGAATAAAAGACCTAAGAATGAATTCAACAAGATATCTGCCTATCTATTTTATGACAACTTTAAAATGCTACTGAGAAACACAAAGAAACTTAAGTAAATGGAGAAAAACATGAATAAATGTTCTTGAACAGATAGACTCTACAATTTCTATGTTCCCAATAAAAATGATACTGGTGGAAATTTTATTTGGGAAAATGAGAAATGAGACAAAACTGACTCTAAAGTTCACATGGCATAATAAACAACAAAGGAAAGCCAAAAAATTTTTGAAAGAGAAGAGAATTAAGGGGAAACTACTTCTATCAGACAGTGAAAATAAAGTGACAATCATTAAAATAGATGATACAGGTATAAAGATAGATCACTGAAGGGAACAGATATTCAATAAATGAATCCAAATATTTACAAAACTACAGGACATGATTAAATATGACATCTCAAATCAGTGGGGAAAAAAGAGATTATTAAATAAATGATATTGGAAAAATGGGTAGCCATTTGAAAAAAAATTATCTTTTATCCCTACCTCACACCTTACACCAAGATAAATTCCTAATGTACAAAACAAGACTATAAAAGTACTATAAGAAACTATGGGATTGATTTTTGACAAAGGTGCCAGGACAATTCAATGGGGAAAGAATAGTCTTTCCAACAAACAGTACTGCAACAACCAGATATTAACAGACAAAAGAATGCAATTTGAGCTCTACCACATATTATATTTAAAAATTAACTCAAAATGAAGCAAAGACCCAAATGCAAGAGCCAAAACTATAAAACTACTAGAAGAAAACACAGGTGTAAATCTTCATGACCTTGGATTAGGCAATGGTCCCTTAGATATGACACCAAAAGCATAAACAACAAGAGAAAAAACAGATAAAATGGACATCACTAAATTTTAAAACTTTTGTGATTTGAAGGACACCATCAAGAAAGTAAAAAGACAATCCACAGAATGGGATAAAATTTTTGCAAATCACTTACCTAATAGGGGACTTGTACCTACAATATATAAATAACTATTACAACTCAATAATAAAAAGACAAATAAGTTTTCAAATGAGCAAGGATCTGAATGGACAGTTGTCCAAAGAAAATATACAAATGGCTAATGAGCACATGAAACTATGCTTAACATTATTAACTATCAGGGAAATGCAAATCAAAAAGACAATGAGATACTCCTCATACCTACTGGCACAGCTAATATCAAAAAAGCAAACAATAAAAAATGTTGTCAAGGATATAGAGAAAGAAGAACCCTCATCCATTACAATGGGAATGTAAAATGATACAGCCACTTTGGAAAACAGGTTGGCAGTTACTCGAACAGTTAAACATACTTACAATATGATCTTGCATTTCTACTCCTGTGTGTATATCCAAAAGAAATGAAAATATATGTCCACATAAAAATTTGTACATGAGTGTTCTTAGAAGCATTATTCATAATAGTTAAAAAGTAGAAACAACCCAATGTCCGTCAATTGAAAAATGGATAAACATAATGTGATATTTCTATATGTGGACTATTATTCAGCAATAAAAAGAAATGAATTATTGACACACACTGCAATATGGATTAACTTGGATAACATTATGCAAAAAAAGTTAAAATGTTATGCTAAGTGAAAGAAGGCAGTCAGAAAGGGGGCCGGCCTCATGGCAGAGTGGTTAAGTCCTCACGCTCCGCTTCGGAGGCCCAGGGTTTCGCCGGTTCAGATCCTGGGCACGGACATGGCACCGCCCATCAGGCCACGGTGAGGTGGCATCCCACATGCCACAACTAGAAGGACCCACAACCAAAAAATATACAACTATGTACTGGGGAGATGTGGGGGAGAAAGAGCAGGAAAAAAAACAAAAACAAAAAAGATTGGCAACAGTTGTTAGCTGAGGTGCCAATCTCTAAAAAAAAAAAAAAGAAGATTGGCAATGGTCGTTAGCTCAGCTGCCAATCTTTAAGGAAAAAAAAAAAGGACCACAGAATATATGATTCTATTTACATAAAATATGCAGAATAGGTTAATCCATACAGACAGAAAGTAAATTAGTGGTTGTCTAGGATAGGGGAGGTTGGAGAAAAATGGGGAGTGAATTCTAATGTGTATGGGATTTCCTTTGAGGTAATAAAAAAGTTCTAAAATACATTGTTACAGAGTTATACAACTCTGGGACTACACTAAAAGCCATTGAACTGTGCAATTTCAGTGGGTGAATTGTATGATATATGAACTATATCTCAATAAAATGTTTTATAAAAAAGAGAAGAAACTATGAGAGATTATATTTATAATCTTTGAGTGGGGAATGCCTAGGCATGATATGAACTCAGAAATCATAATAGAAAGAATGAATAAATTGTATCCATTAATAAAAGATATGGATAAATAAAATTTTTCATGGGAACATCACCATATAAAGACAAAGTATCAAAAACAAAGTGGGAAAAATATTTGCAACTCACATCATAGACAAAGGATAATTTCCCTAAGACATAAGAATGCCCTCAAATGAATAACCATCCAATAGAAAAAGTCTATCAACAGAGAGAACACAGAAAAGAAAGTATAAATGCATTTTAAGTACCTCAAAAGATGCGCAAAGTCAGTCACAAAAAAAGGAACACAAATTAAAACTAAAAGATATTTTTTCACCTATGAGACTGTCATATACGAAAAAAGTTTTATTTCCTTGTGTTGGTGAGAGTATGGGGCTCCTCAGGTATTCTCGGTCCTTACTGATGGGAATGTAAATTGGCACAATCCCCATGAAGGGCAATGTGACATCATGCACATTCCAGCAATTCCACTTCTAGGAATTTAGTCTACAGATATACTTAATGCAGTCACGTGCACACTAGGTTATTCCTGGCGGCAATGTTGATATTAACAAACAGACTGGAAACAACCAAACTTTCGTCCGCCAGGAACTGGTTAAATAAGTTACAATCTGCCCATATCACGAAATGCCCTGCATTTGTGAAGAAAGAGGACACTCTTTGCATGCTGGTGTACACCAAGACTTATTGTTACATGAAGAAAGCAAAGTCTAGAATAGTGTAAGTGGTATTCACCATTTGTGGGAAAAGGGAATGGGATGGGAAAAGACATAAGGATGAATTTGTTTGAAAATGTTAAATATTTCTGGAAGAGTACACAAGAAATCATTAATGTCTGTTATGACTAGGGAGAGGGCTGGAAGAGAGACTTTTTTAAAAAACAGCCTTTTGTACCTTTTGAATCACGTAAGTATCTTTAATATTTCATATTAATTAACTAATTTAATATTCTTGCCATTATGTGTGGTCACTGGAGGCTTAGGTCTAGTGAGCATCAAAAGCCTCAGAAAATAACACGATAGAGAGCCCACATAAGGTCACCCTCAAGAAGGGAATGCCTCTGCTTATAACGCAGAGGCGGATGGGGTATGAGTAGTGCAGACAGATCTAGCAAATAAGGATATGGGATTCCCAATTAAATGTGAATTTCAGACAAATAACAAATAATTTTTTTATTATGCGACATTTAGGACACATTTGTACTGTATTTTGTCAGGCAACCGCAGCTCTGAGAAAATGCCCAGGCAGTCCTGGGCAGCTAGTTAGAACTACAACCAGTATATATCTCTCGCCAGAGGAGGCTCGACACACAACACTGTGGAGAGAAAGAGTTGACATTTATACTTCACTCAAAGAAGTAACAGCTTGACCCAGATTCAGTCAATATGCTGAATCCCCAGTGATTTATGAAATCGTTTCATGTAAGCATGAACAACTTGTTAAGAGAAAGAACACAGGGCGTTACCATCATTCAAGTGAAAAAAAGAACCAAAATGAGGGAAAGACCTAGAAAACAAGTCACTGAAAAAAAGATATGTATTCGTATTTCAATTTTCAATTTTTAAATTCAGTAATCCCTATTTCAAAGAGAGAGAATTACCATGGTTCTCTGAAACAAATTAGTTTTCAAAGCCAGCAGACAGCTTTCATCTCAGCTGGAGCTGAGTGAATGAAAAAAAATCCAGTATGTGACAGCCAGAATCCAACATTTCTGATATTTACTTCCTAACTGCCTTGTTTTTTGGTAAGGTTTGCCCAGAGCTATCCTGTGGCGAATAGGAAGAAATATATTACTCATGTATTTCTCTTTCCATTTCATGCAGTTGAGTTCACTTTTGATCTTAGAAAAAGTCACTGTAGTAGCTGTGAGCAATAAACTCAGGTCAAGTAAGTAAGAACAACCCCATGGCCCCATGGCAGGTCTCCCACGATTATGGTGAATTGCATGCATATTGCACAGATTGGTTCAAATGATGACAGGAGTCAGTGATAAAAATTCCTGAAATATGCCATGACAGAGAGCAAATCCGTCACACCCCTCTCCATGCCCTCCTCCTCCCAGTCTTCTTTCTAACATCCACCAATCTCCCTGTGCTCTCTGCCCTACCCTGCCAATATCCAGCTCAAAAGCCAGTTCTTCTAAGAAGGCTTCCTCTGCTTCCCAAACCCAGCCTCCAAGCTGATGTCATTGCTCCTTCTTCGGGAGATGTCCCAAGGCTAGATTATCACCACAAGTATTAAAAGGACAATTAACATTTGTAAAAATGTTATGAAATTTTATTTCGTAATGTCCCCAACACTTTACACACATTAGTTTTAATCCTCTGAAAAATCCCCCAATTACAGATCATCATCCCCATTTTACAGATGATGAAACTGAGGCTCAAAAAGGCTAAGATATCCAAAAATTAGAATCCAGTGCAAGTGTGAAGTGTGTCCGGAATTGTTCTTTCCACTATTCTGTGCTGTCTTATGTGCCTCTCTCCATTAAAAAAAAAGTTAATTGGGTTGTCTTCTAATTTACAAAAACAATAAATGTTTATTATAGAAAATCCCAGCAATTAGGTATAGCAGAATGAATGGCCTTGTTCTCCCTGTCACTCTTCCTCTCTGCCAAGTAACCTCACAGTGCCATCATCACTCAGCATCTCAAAGCCTAGATCTCAAAGCATCGTGCTGTGAACCACAAGGGCATGACCTTTGGTTGCAATGCTATCCCCAGAAACTAGAAGAGGGCTTGGTACATGATAGGAGCTCAAATTTATTGAATGAATGCATACATGAATAAATGAATGGTAAATCTCCCCTTGGATCGGTAAAAGTTAACTGTGACACACAATTTTTAGATTCAAATTATTATGAATTTTTAACATGAATTACTTTACATTATACATCTTTTTTACCTTGGTTTTTATTTGCATACATGCAAAATGATATATGTACATTGCAGCATTGTTAATAAGGAAAGATTGGAAATAACCTAAATATCAATTGACAGGAGACTGGTTTAACAAATTATGATATATCCGAGTAATAGAATAGTATGCAGCTATAAAAAAAGAATTTTATACACACACATATATACTTATATATGTATACGTATATGTACATATATACTATACACACATATACACAGACTATATGGACACATATGTATAATATATAACATATGTACAATATATGGATAAATATGTTTGTGTATATGTGTACATACATTATACATATGTACATAATATACACATATGTATATATACACACTGTACATATACATTATACACACACACACTGATATTACTGAAAGATCTTTAGGTTTTAAAGTGAAAAAAGCAAGCACGGTCAGTGTTTACAGCATGATACCTTTGTGAAGAAGACAGGATTCCTACTTGCTTGTACAAATTTGCAAAAAGAAATCACAGAAGA